TATGAAGATATGAAAGTGCTTCTAAAGAAGATTGATTACGACAACCATCTGTGGCGATTTAAAACTCATAACGTTGTTACTTGGACAATGGCAGGCTTTACCAAAAATCCTTTCTATTTGTGCTTATGTGATAGTTTAATGAACTGTGACAAAATATTTTAGGGATATCATTTAAAAATTGATTCGGGGAAATTAGGATATATATCTTAGATATCCCATGAACGTTTGTAGATGTCCTGAGAACATTCTAGAAATATCCTAATTTCTTAATACTTCTAGAACGTCCATAGGATATTCTAAAATATCTGTTACAGAGATTTTTTTCTCCACAAAATAGAATTCTATTTCAATTCAATATTCTATTTCTATTTTGTTTTTGATTTCGAATTCAGAACATCAAAAAATCTATAAGAATCATCAAACTCAGTCTAAAAAACAAGAAAAAATTGTATGAATATATATAATGTAATATGTATGTATATGCAAACTATACTGACTGCATCAAAAACGGGAAATTGGAAAACATTTCATGTTATTGCAGTTTTTATGATAAAACCGATAAAACTTAATAGATGGCATCCGAGTTTCAGGTAGATAACGTATAGCTTGAACAGAAGCTACGTCACATATCAAACACCACAATTCGACGTGTATATATATAAGTATATAAATACTATAACGCGGCAAATTTGTTGCATTACAAAATTTACTAAATTTAACAATACAAAAAATAGAAATCATCAGAAAGGAGATCAATTAATAGGTCGTCATGCAACCGTTAAATCTAGCACTTTGATCAAGCAGCGCAATAATAATATTGAGTGCAAACATAAGAAATAAATTGAATTCTACTTAAAGTTTCGATTTAAATTTCTTAATCGTTTTAACGTAGAAAATACGTTCATAATATAGTTTTATAAAATTAATAAATATGTCGATGTTGTTTTATGTGTCATCAGAAAAAGTAAAAAAAAAAATTTCTTGTCTATAAACCAACATCCCTTGATTGCTTTATTGCCTCCAATCCAATAAAAGTCCCAATAATAATGTAGGATGTTTTCCGATGCACCTTATTTGATTTAGTATCAGCCATTTTGTGATCACATATCTGCCTCGTAAATCTTAACACGGTGGCGCCACCGAATATCAAACGTCGATGTGTCCCGCACTCAACCCCAATTCCACGTAAAATATTGCCTCACCCGTTTCCTATGCAACGTAAACTGTCTTCAAATCAATTCTTTTTATTTTTGTTTTTTTATTGGTCGATAGATGTAAAAAAAAAGTATTTTACATAATCGGCTTCAATTTAACATTAGGCATTAATAGTTTGTGATGTGAGAATTTATATTTGAGCTTTTTTTTAATTTGAGCTTTTTAATAATTTAAAATCTGAATAAAATGACGCGTTTCAACACATTTTCGTGTCCTCATCAGATATAAGTCGCTGTAAAAATGGATTATACAAAATCGATTTTATAAAAGAGTATAAGTTTCACAGAAAATTAAAAGGCATTAAAATAAGCTGCAACGCTTATTATTTTAATCCAATTTTGCTTATTTTAATCCATTTTAGTATTAAAATAAGCAAACTTGGATTAAAATAATAATCGTTGCAGCTTATTTTAATGCCTTTTAATTTTCTGTGTTGTTGTTAATATTTAACAGTAATAATAATTATTAATACACCAGATTAAAATGATAAAAAATGAATTTTGATTGTTTTTTGACATTTTATGTTTCGTAGAAATATTTTAAGAATAAATTAATCATATTTTAAACTAAGTGAAAGATCTTATAATCTATATTTATTAGCTTTTCAATTTTGATTTTTGAATTGTCCCTCTTCGTTACATTTTTTATTCATGAATATTAATATCGACAGAATCTTATGTCATTTTGTTTTTCTATATGAGATTAATTTTTTACAGTTTTTATTATCTGAAGAGGCCCAGCGTTGATGGGCGAAAGCTAATATGTAAACTAATATAAAAATAATTGGATTACTATATCCAAAAAACCATTACATCTCTACTATTTTAAGAATATATATATATACATGTTTAAAATTGATGTAGTTTGCAAAGAAATAAATTATATGAATATATGTATAAATGATAACTTTTAAAATTGTTAATTAAATAACATTGTTGTAAAACATTTAATTATTAATATGATATGAATATGATATTTACTGATGTAAAACATTTCCAATATTCAAAACTTTTTTAAATAAACAAAAAAATTTCTTGGAATATTTTTTAAAGAGAAGATTTTACAGTAAGCATAGTCGCTCTTGTTTATAATTTGTTAGGCGAGAGAAAGTCAGTGAAGGGATCTTGAAAGAGAGGCCTGGTTAATTGACATGACAGATAGAGGGTGCGAGAGAAGTTGTCGCTTAGTAACATTACACCGCGATGAAATTGATACTCACCCTTGTCCAATGCAGACTTTGTTTCCCTTATTTCACCCCGATTATGACGCTACAACTACTGAAACGACTACATTTTTGACAACAGTAACTCCAACATATCTACGTCGAAAATATTTTTATAGTAGAAAAAATGGTATCAAAAATTGAAAAAAAGTCTTAAATTTTATAAAATAGATATAAAGTTTTATACTAAAATACTTATATTTTTCACTTAGTACACGCTTGTTGAAGAAAGCATGCGATACCTGAAAGATATATCAATGCCATTACATATTGACATCTAAACAAGAGATTATATAAAGTGTTAACTACCTTCCTATCGTAATATTAACCCTTTATCTACTCATGTAACCGTTATCGTCTAATCGTTTATACGGACGCTTGGTGTGGACTACAGAAATTATGTTCTATAGCCATTGAGTTGGAATAAGTCAATGTAGAAAGGGGGTTAAAGTTTATTATAGATTTACAAATATTTTGTAAAATACAATAACAAACATTTTGTTATAATTAATAGTAACTATCAATATCAATATTTCCCTGTAATATTGCCTCAAGTTTACTTAGAAATGTTTCCTGAAGGGTCATCGTATTCAACCACTTGAATTTCTCTTCTTGAAAGTCGAGTGAATAACCCCTCGTTTTTAATTTCCAGAGAATGTGAATTACATATTACCATTACTCTGATTAAAAGTGAGAAGTAAAATATTACTATCTTCTTTTACACATGCGAAAAAATTCATAAGGATACTAAAAGAGATAATTAAAATTTAGTTTTTATACTTTATGTGCATTTTAAATGTGTATAATATAATTATTTGATTAATACATGTTTAGACTTGTTTAAATAGACCGTATTACTTATATAAGTTTTGGCTTCAACCCCACTCCATAGATCACTTGACGATCCCCTTTCGCTGACTTGTTATTAAATTAATCCTTCGTTTAGCTGAATTGATGCATTGATATCACAAAGCACCCATAACTCATAACACCCTATACAGTTTACACAAATACAATAATGTAGCAATCGGTATGGATGCAGAAGGATACGCTTTTGAATCAGGGATACGAATATAGAATGTCTTTTCATGATAAATCACATAGTCATATGATTATTTAATTTTGTCTTTCTATTCTTAATAAAATAACACTACTTTTTAGCAATTTATATTTATGTACTTGAATTTTATTCATGGAAATAGAAAAAGCTTCAAAGAATATCTAAATAAAGTCAGATGTTTTTTTTACAGTACCCACAGCGCTGAGAAAGCAGCACCTTGAAAGCGGAAGAATTCTAAGGTCTCAAAATTTACTGTAGTTAGTAAAGCAGATCACCCAAAAACATTTCTATGTTGTTTGAGATTCGTATCAATGCTTTGATGACGTCACTGCGCTTGCGAACCAATTCGTCAGTCACGCAACGCAAACATTTAGGAACATATTGGAGAAAGGCCTTTATCACAACACCACGGTCTGGCAGGCGGAGGTCTGCGTTGTAATGACTTGTGCTGTTGTGCAATGATTTGTCTTAAAAAAGAAAATCAGGCAAAAGAATTAATATTTGTGTCGATAGTCAGGCGGCTCTAAACGCCTTGAGTAATCCAACTATATAGAATCAAAACTAGTTTAGGAATGCCGGAAAGTATTGGACGAGCTAGGTTTGAAAAATAAGCTCTCATTAATCTATGTACCAGGACATTCGGGAATCAGAGGAAATAAAGAAGCGGGTATCTTAACCCGTAGATGATCTGAGATGACTATGGTAGGCCCGGAACCGGCGGTAGGCATTAAGCCAGGTGCGGTGAAAGGAGCCGTGGAAAGATGGTCTAGGGGATGTCATGAGAGAGAGTGGCCAGAGACTACTATAGGTAGACAGGCCAAAGTTCTGTTGGGATTAAAACTCAACAGGGGCTATGCCGAGTCCCTTCTGAAACTCAACAAGATCAGAGTTAGAGCAGTGGTTAGGTTGCTCACAGAACATAGCAGAACATCCTAAACTATCATCAGCACAAAATAGGTAGTAACGTCTCACTTAGGTGCAGATTGTGTGATGCAGAAGAGGAATCTTTGACTCATATTTTATGTCACTGTCCAGCTTATGCTGCAGTGAAACATCAATGCTGGGGTCATGCCTTTGTAGACCCAGATTGGATTCGCAACCTCTTGGTAGAAGAGTTACTGGACTTTTGGAATAGGACAGGACTTTAAGGAGGGAGACTGGGTTCAAGCTGGCCAGGGTTAGGTGCAAAGGGGACTTCGGTATAAGTTCGTTTTAGATTAGATTAGATTATTAAGTGTTCAAATATCATTTTTATAAATTTGGTAGTTACCGACAGCTCTCCATTAATTATGTTAATACCGCGGTTTCTATACCGAAAATTATAGATGGCGTAAGCTACCGATCTCATTGCAGACAAAACCACGTTTTCTTATTTGTCGGTGAAAAAAGAACAGGGAAGCGAGCATCTCACAAGCAATAAGCTTTCCGCGATTTATAACTTTTTTATAAAGATTATTCTTATTATTGTGTAGAAATTAATTATTAATGCAATAAGCATTATCGTCCATTAAATATTTCATCATTTATTAAAATTATTATTGAAATAATGTTACATAAAAAAGCAGATATAAATAAATCTAAAAAAGACAGAATAGCAATATTTTATCTATGAAAAGGGATAAATATTGTTTTTTTTTATTTGATAAAATTTAAATTAATTTAATGCAGTAGATGTAAGAACTGCAACACCTCTCTCGTAAAAACTGTGCGGATCTTGACTTGGAGCAATATTTAAGTCAACTGTAAATAATAATTCCGTTCTTGTACTGTTTAAATAAACTGGTAATGTCAATTTTCCTTTTTTAGTTTCTTCGTTTGATGACCGAATCCATCGTAGCATTGTTACAGGTAAATCTGTCATAATAGTTGACGTCAGATATAATTGATTATCCTTACAATGTGCTCCTTGTAATTTAAGTCCAGTTACAGCAAAAGAGCAATCATCGGTCGCTAAATTATCACCATCTCCAATCATAACATCCAAATGGAGTTCTTCAAGAGACCAACTATTAGCTTGAGCAATGCATTGTCTAGTGGCTGTTATGTATGCTTCTGGATTCAATAAACCTCCAAGCCAAACAGGAAAACTCTGTAATTATAATAAAAAAGGAAAAAAATAAAATTTTTTGAACAATATGCAAATTATAAATCTAAAAATAATATTCAATATACCTTAATTTCCTTTGCTCCACCTTGTGATACTAGTCTAGAAACTTCTTGCAATTGTGACACTCTATGGCTAAAGTCTGTAATCCATTGAATTACAGTACATCCTCTTGGAACCGTATACCTTCTCCAACCACTTGGTAAAATACCTTTTATCAGTTCAGACAATATAGTTCTATGATAATTCGTTTGCTTCTTTTCACCCTATAATAAAATATCGATATAGACATAAATTCTTCAATTATTTATATATTATTTACTAACATAAAAAGGAAGTATTTACCTGACAAATAAGTACAACGTCTTCTAAATCGTGAATGACATCTTGAAGTAATTTAGAGCCACTATTGACCTCACGCTCGAAATATCTATATAATGGATCTTTAATATTTTCCACAGTTCTTTTCAAAATAGCCAAATTCTTCGGCAACAATTGTAACCAAGTTGTAGCAGAATTATGCAATGTTTTCATCCATGAAGGTCGACCATCACCTTCAGCTTCTCCAGGTGTATCCAATGATTCATCATTAGAATATGCCAATTCATCCTCATCTTCCAATTGTTGCATTTTTAATAATTTTGAAACAAGATCTGTACCCCTTGTTGTCAGTAATACTTTTTCAGCATTATTTGGCAAACCAAGCCAAGAGGGAGTTTGACGATCCGAAAGTAATTCAATCCATTTTAAAAAGTGATCCCGTCTTGTACCATCAGGCATTGTAATGTGACGCTGACTTCCCTGTACACCATCAACATTTGCAACCAATGCAAAATCAGCTTCAAATGAACGTGGCGTAAATAGTTTACGAAGAAACGAAGCCAATAGACGTTGATCAAAATCGTTATCAATTTTTCCTCCATAAATACATTGAGACAGAAGGGTAACTAAAGCATCCCAAGGAACTTTTTCCGGTGGTAAATTAGTTCTTCCCATTGCTGTTGTTTCTATCCAGGTGTCTAAAGTATCACAAGCGACGCGTAAATCACTTTCGTTGAATTCATAATATTTCGCCCATCCAAGAGGAACGTAACGAAGTCTCTCCTGAACAATAGCGTGGAACCAGGCAAGTAAAAAGTATAATCTCGCTCTTTCACTAGGCACCTTCATCATTCTTGACGCTGGTACTGTACTAAAAGTACGCAATAAATTTGCCCTAATACCCGGAGGTGGTTCATAAACAAATATACGACCGGCTCTCAATAAATTAACCGGTACTTTGGGATTTATTTCCATAGTGAGGAAAAGACGGAAACTAGCGTGTGGTTGTAAACTATGCAATTTCTTTTCCAACTGAATTAACCATTGTGGAGCAAGATGTACATTTTTCAATAGTACCCATCTACCAGCTTTAACAGCCATATTAATAGCTCTATCAGCCTGATGAAAACCTTCCGCTGAACCAATAGCAATACTTGCAATTTGTTTACCAAGTTCCGCCGCTAAATCATCAACTCTACCCGATGCATCAAAACCAGGAACCGAACACAATAAAGCCGGTACCGTTGCTTTTAGCTGATTCTCAACAACCGAACCAAAATCTAATTCAATTTCAGCCTCAGCCATAAATGTCTCACCCAATGCCGAGCTTACAAACAATGAAGTTGCCGCTATTACTCTATCGGGACGGAATGCCTGAATAACCAACAATTGATACATAGCAACACCAATTGATGACAACGGTTTCTCCTCCTCCCAAAGTTTTGGAACACAAGTTTCAGGTGTTGGACACTGTAACCATTTGTTAAATTCCGCATTCTCCTGAATAACATTGGCAATATTTTTAAATGCCGGAACTCTCAAACTCAATCTCACCATTGCTTCCTGTTGTTCTGAACCAAGACAAAGTACCGTCTGTCCACGTACACTCAATACACCTTCTTTTCCTCGTAAAAAGAAAGCAAATTCATTATCGTACGTCGATTCAGTTGCAATTCCCTTCAAATGTATACGACACAATAAAAGAGCAAATGTCAATCTATCAGTATGTAACATTCCCCTAGCGACACGTTCATAACAGGCAGAAAATAAATCATTAGTGATTACCGACAGTCTCTGTGTATAATCAGTCAATGTTGATAGTTTCTCATTTTGACATAAGACAGACGTAAAAATATCCAAAAACATTTTTAATGAATACTGATAGAGAAAATGTATCTGATTCAAACTATCCATTGTGAAATAAATATTAGAACACGCCTGTGAAAGTGGCATATATTGTTGAGAAACAGTTTCAATTTCTCCAATTACCTTATCGGTTTCCTCAACTTTTTTACTAATATCCGCCGCTTCTTGTTTCAATGTCTCTAGTGTTGTAATAACCGAATCATCATCCAAAATTTTACCCTTTGCATCATTTAATGCTTGAAGTAAAGATTTTTCCAATTGTCTCAATCGAAGATGAAATTCACCTTGTAATTTCAATAAATCTGAACGTTTTTCATCAATATCGGGACGTTCAGCTTTCAATACTTGATTCAGACACTGACTCTGTAGAGAACTTCGTGTAACTGTGAAATTAACAAATGTCACACGAGAACATATATCGGGTGGAAATTCAACTGTTGGATCTCTCGTTGATAGAAATATAACAAACGATGGCGAAAGATCAATATCTTGATCGCCAAGTGTTATTAAAACACGACCACCTGTTCGTCGTAATTCTCTATTTAAAACGGGATTTAAAACAGGATCATAATTTTCAACATCTTGTACTAATAGAGGATTGCCAAATCTTAAAGCACTTTCCAAATTTTTTCTGAAAGAATCATCCAAAAAGCTGGTCTTTGTTATTTTACGATCTTTAAATTCATTCATTATAAATTCAGTTGCTTGACCCGAAGGATCAATTATTAATGGATATCTGTTAAATCGTTTTAACATTATAGCATTTTCTGTGCATAAATCATCAGTTGGTAATGCATTTGCCTGCCAACGTAAACGTTCATCTGGATTTGATAAATATTCAGTTCTTGCAATATCGGGTCTAAATTGAATATTTGCATGCTGCAAGTGTTGGCACCAAGTTGTAAACAGATTTTGACGATACTGTAAAAGAGAAATCATAATTAAGCTTTTATTTTAAAAAATAAAATTCCTTAAAAAAATAGATAATTATAAAATATACATACATGTTGATCAAAGTATCCAGCATAAGCTAGGAATGCAGATGAAAGAAGAACATCGCCTATTATTGTTGACATTTGACTTCTAAATGTTTCACTTGTTGTTTCCCATCTTTCTCTTTCAATTACTAACGATTTTAATAATGCAATAGAGCGATCAACTTTTCCTTGAACATTTTCTAAATCCGTTTTTATAGCTTGTGCTTGTGAAATTAATTGTGCATATTCTTCTTTATAAGACGCAATACTTTGTTCTAATTGAGCAATCAAATTTTTCACTTCTTCGCCTTTTAATTTATTTGTTTCAGCTTGACGTTCGAGAGAATGCAATTCATCTCTCAATGGTTCGACTCGTTTCAACATATCAGCATATTCAATCTAAATAATTTTTAAATTCAAACATTTTGATAATATTTAGATTTAATTATTCATAATTTTTTTTTTTGAAAAATGATATAATTATTATTACCTGTGCTATTGCCCATTTTACCATAGGACCACAAGCCATACTGGCACGATTTACTTTTTCAAAATTGTAATCTGGATTGCAAAGATAACGACTTTTCATTTTCTCCCTAACTTCATCGCTGTAAGAAATAATATTTACTTGTATGGCACAAAATAAAGAAGTATTGTTTAATTATTCATTTTTTTTATTCTAAAAAGTCTAATTAAAAATAGATTCGAACTTACGTAATATCATCAGTACTAAAATTGGAAACAATGGTATTAATGAAATTGTCTCTCATAATAACAGCTCGAATAGATTTCCAGTCACTTGCGTTTTCGCCTAACAATAGACAAATTGATTCCAAGGCAAGTTTAACAACAGCTGGAGGATTTGCCATAGATCGAACTTCCACTAAATGTTGTTTCTTTATTGATTTAACAGCTATAAAGTAAAAATAGTTTTCGTTTTGTTATGTAAAAATTAATTTTTGTATTTATAATGGTCTAGCAATAAGAAACCCATGTATTGTTAACATACCATTTTGTGCATCAATTACAGCTGGTTCTACTTGTGCTAAATCTGCCATTACGTCTTCTCTTTTTTGATCAATAGCCACTGTTTGAATAGCTAATTGTTGTTGAATTTCTTGACTTTGAACTTTTTTCTTTTCCGCTTCTTGTTGATCTTTAACCATTTGTCTCAGTTTTGCATTTGCTGCATCATTTTTCGCTTGTAGTTCCTACAATAATAAAATACAGTGAAGTTTTTTTTATTATTATTAAAATTTCCGAGATTCATAACATGAGTAATAAATTTTATCTTACCTGAGATTTAACTGCTAAACTTTTTTGCATTTCTTCAACTTGTTCGACAGTTTCGGCTATTTTACCTAATCCAACATTTAAATGTAACTGCTGCTCTTCCAAATCACTTCGTTTTTCACGATAAAGTTTAACGAAATGATTAATAAAATCCAAATAATGTCTCGGTGTAATAGCCATTGTTCTACTGCCTCTTTTTGCTAATCTTGTATTTGCTTTATGTAAAGTTTGATGAACATAGACAAAGGCATTTATCACTGCATCTCTATGTGATGGTTGTGCTGTTATTAATGAGCAAGCTGATGGGAAAAAGTCAGGACATTTCCATGATGGTCTTTCCAAATCAATTCGACTTGTAAATTCTTTGCCAACTTGAAATAGAGCATTATCAGACCAATCACCAAACCAATTTAACACACATCGATTAAATAGAGCAGGTGATGTTGCGGCTCTATCTTTTAAACCATCAGTATTTGGATTCATTGTAAATACAACGTGTAAATTTTTCATCACTTGTCCAGTGAACCATTTATATAATTCTTCATTTGAATCTAACATGAGGCCCTCTCTTTGTGCTCCTTCTTTACATTGTGTCATCAATGTTGTATATTCATCTCCTTCAAATAATCCTGGAACTTCTCCATTTGCTAGCAATGTATTCATACGTTCCAAAAAGCCCGAATCAAGAACATTTGATTCATCTAAAATAAATGCTATTTTCTCATCCTTACAACCTGATCTTCTTAATACTTGACGTAAATCCTCATCAAAATCTTCACCAGTGTATTTATTATGCACCTTTATTTGGAAAATGGACAATCCATTCATCCATGCGACAAATCTTGATAATGTGGTTTTTCCAGCGCCAGAAACACCAATCAATAGCAAGTGTCCTTGTGGTTGTCGGAATATTCTGTCAATTCTTAAAACATGTTCCAATACTTCATCAAAAAGTACAAGTGGAACATCTAATTCCTCTTCATAGAATACCTTAAGTCTTGCTCTAACGTAATCTCGTAATTCTTGTCTATTTACTGGTACATAATCTTTAGAAAGCCAATTACTATAGAGAATTGGTCTTGAAAGTGATTTTTCTTTATCAACACCAATAAAATGTTTCATGGCAACAGAATCAATATTTTTATTAGTCCAAGCACGTTCATTATCATCAACCAATCGATCTTGGAATAAACGTAATGCTTCATGTGCCCATAAACGTACTAATCCTTCAACAGAAAGATTATCCAATGGTCTAATTGCTTCACAAATACCACGAACCCATCGCGTCATTTCACGTGGTGAATAAACATAATGAGGTTGCATATCCTGTGTGAATCTTTCTTGAGATGCTAAATAAAATTCCACCATTGCATTTGTTAAGGATTCAGAAAATCCTCTTAATGATGGTGTCAATCTAGTAAAGAAAAAATAATTACATTATTTAAATTTCTATTATTAAGAAAATACCAGACTAAAAATTAAATCATAAACATTTACCTGAGCATTGCACGTGTAAATGTTCCATAAATCTGCTTAAGTGATGTTTCACCTGGATAATCAACATATATCACTGGTACATGACGTAAAAATCGATGACTCAATGGTTTTCTTCCAGGATCAGTTGGCGGATTACAAGCACCAACAAATTGTATTCTTTCCAATGTTACCCACTGTTGATCACTGGTACGATAAAATCCTTTGTGCTCAACTAATTGTCTTAAAAATGAAATAACTCTTTGCGTACCATAATTATCCATATCAGGTAAATTAATTTCATCACAAAATAGAACAAGCCATTTGCCCAATTGTACTGGTGAAAGTACAACTCCATTCGATGTTTTGCGATATTCACAATAATGATCAAAAGTTTTTAATAGTAATTCCGGTGTTGTTGCAGAGGAAAAATTCAATCCAACTACTTCCATATCAGGAAGAGCACGTAGTGCGGAGAAAAGTGTCATTGTTTTACCAGAACCCGGAGGACCGCAAAGAACTAAAAAATCCAGAAACGCAAATTTCAACCCCGGTTTTAGAAAAAATATTCATGTAACAAAATGGAAGGAAATAAATCAGTTATTAAAAAAGATTTAGTAATATAATTACCGAGTGGTTTGTGTTCAGCCAACCAGGTGTAAAGTAAACTTTCATGTCTCACGGTATCCAATGTAGGAACAACAATATCTGGACTTGCCACTTTATGTGTTTCTACTTCAATTTGAGGTACTTTATTACTCCACAATAACCATTCACCATGAATATTAACTTCAAAATCAATAATTGGAACATTATTCAAAGTTGGTAATGGTATGGTAGTAATAGATCTTATAAAATCGCCAACATCAGATCGAACTTTTAATTTAGCGTCACCAGCAAAACTCCAAAGTAAAGCATAAACAAGACATTTTGGCATGTAGCGTTCCAATTGTTCGCTTGGCAATGGAAAATCAATGTGAGCATGATTATACACTAAGACATTGCGAACAGCTTGATTCAACATTGAAAATAATGAACTAAGTGCGCGTAATCTCGTGAAATCCATAATATGCTCTTGACGCATTGCATATTCCATACATTTAACAACTAATCCATCAGGTGCAAAGTAACTTTGTAAAATGCAAGCCACTTCACGTTGAACCGAAAGAGCAGGCGATAAAGAATCTTCCTTATCTGCAGTCTTCTTAACAAAATTTTCCTCATCTCCATCTTCCAATGGAATATTCTTTAATCTCATCATATAATTCTCAAAAATCATTTCAGTTGACAGTACATCCTCCGAAAACCAAACCATGCCACATCTTGAAACTGTGGCAAGTGTTGCATACTTAAGATCTTGCACTTCAAACATAACTCTTACATTTGGTGGTAAACTCAAACGTTCACCATTTGGAAGTGTTAAAAGTTTATTATCATCAAGTACAGAATTTAAATTTTCCACCCATTCTGGATCAACATCACCATCAAAAATAATCCACTGCCTTTTATTTATTTCCCCTCTAACATTATCGATAATTTTTCTTAGAATATGGGTAAATAATCCATCTGTCCATTCACGAGTATTTGGATCTAATACACCGTACAAGGTTTCTTTGCTTATTGCTTTTGGATCAATTACATGTGCCACACCTTCAACTCCTTCAAATCTCTCTAATGCTTTCAATAAAATTCTCCATGCCATACTTTTTCCAGATCCACTTGGTCCAACCATCATTAAACCATGATTGAGATTGCAAATTTGATACAATTGTAGAACCTAAAAGAAATTTTTTTTTAAAATAAAAATCTATAACTATAACAATCGAAAAAATCATTTTACAGTTTGTAAAATACAACAAACGTGCAATCAGTCAGACAATTAGTATAATACTAAAACACGATAGACGAGTCCATTTGACTTTTTTGTATTTAATAGCTTCTCACCTTTTGTACCCAAGTCTCACCAATCACCTCCTGAGCGTGCAAAATGTAAATAAATAATACATTACCATATAAAAAAAAGAAACGCAATATTTAAACTCCCGTACTAAAGAATACGTTAGATTAATAGAAATTATGGAAGTGCGCCCGAAAAGATATGGGTTCTTTTGGAATTAAACTCTAAGCTTATCAAATTAAGAGATTTTATCCTATTTTATAGATTCACTCGTTGATGGTTAAAAAATTATACCCTCCTTAATTTACTGACTGGTGAAATTAAATTATCTTCGATGGAGAAGATATTTGAGAGATGTGTATTATTAATAAATATCGTAGTATAAGTAACGCATTAGTATCTTATGAAATAAATAAATGAATTAAAATTGTATTTTCTTACTTTTTCCTGCCAGGCACCTCCCTGTTCTTCTCCTTCTCCGCAAACAAGAAATTCCTCAGCACATACTTTACGAATTTGATCTTTCAAACCTTAAACATAAAATGTAGTATTATAGTAACTCAAGTTTTGAAATTTATTTATAAAAACTACTGAACTATTTAAAAATTTTGTAATCCTATTGTAAAATATAATTATACCTTTCATTTCAGCACGAGTATAACCAACATTTGGAAATACATCATTCAATAAACTGAATAATAACGGAATATCTTCTGCGACTAATTTAGGAACCAATGTTTCACATACAGATTGAATTAAAATCTCTTGCTCTGGTAAATTTTCAGCAATTGATGCTTCATCAATATCTACATCGCCACGATTTTTCATTCCTTCCTTAATTTTTTGTATACGATCACGTTTTACATTTCCAGCAGAAATCAAAACGGATTTTAGCGCACGCAGACCAAAGTCATAATGCGATTGATTTGATAGTTGTTCGTCGCACAATCTAAATATTAATTAAGAATTAAGAATTTTGTAAATTTTTTTGAGGGACAAACAACTTTTTTTAAAATAACTTACTTAAAGAATGGCACAATTTTGCAAGCCAATTTTTCGGCAGTTCTAAAACCTTGACTGAATAACATAACTTCAGCGATTAATTGACGATCTGGAGTAGTCATAGCTAGAGATCTAAATAATTTTTTCAAATTATCAGGCAAATTAGATCTACCAGCATATCCAGGATTCATTGTTATAAATATTGCCATGTCGGTTGATACTTTAACTTGTTTTCCAACTAATTCAACACAAAGAGTTCCTTCCTTTTTACCTTCCATTTGACTTTTAAGTGCTTCCTGAATAGTTTGCACTTGTTGTGAGACAGCTGATAACATTCTCTCTTCTAAACGATTAAATTCATCAAAACATCCCCAAGCACCGACTTGGCAAAGTCCGACAAATATTCGTCCCATAGCCTTTAAAATATGGCAATATTAATTATTAAATTAAATAATAATTATAGTATAGAAAAATTATAACTTACCTGAAAGTCAAACGTTTCATCGCAATTAAAGACCAAAACAAATCTGCCGAGTTGATGACCCAACGCTTTAACAGATTCAGTTTTTCCAGTGCCTGCAGGTCCAAATGGTGAACCACCAAGACGTGCTTCTAAAGCCTGTGTCATTGTCAAGTAACATCGATCGGTGAGTGGTGTTTGTACCAATCTATCTTGAACGCCAAGATATTCAAAGCCATAATAGAACTTTGCATTCGCCATATGTATTGTTAATTGTTGCAAAACATCCGTTTGTCTAGGATCAAAGTAAAATCTCATTTCACAAAGCCATTCAAAAGCCTTTGGATTAGAAACTTTATTTGCAATTAGTCTCCTAGTGACAGTACGTTTATGTACAAATTCATTGATCAAATGTTCAAGTTTTTTTCTTCTCAATGATGGTTGCTCCTGTAGAACAGAATCGGCCAAAATATTTAAAGTTCCTTCAACTTGTACCAAAACTTTTTCTAATGGACTGCTATTGTTAACTGTTTGTGCCTCATGTAAAGCAGCTTCAACATCTTCAGACCATAAAATTTGTGCTGCCAATACAATAATTTGCGCCTGATAATTATCACACCATGTCATAAAAGCATGTGGATTTATATTTCCCTCTTTAAATTGTTTAATATCCTGCACGGCTTTCATAAGACTCGAAGCAAGTGTCACTCTCATTGCTTTTTCCACAAGTGTTAACCATTCATTAATTTTCGGATAATCGACGGTCGATACTGGATTTTGAAATTTCACCTCCTCACCTTCACGTGAAGCAATACCGGTAATAACTGTATTATCTTCATTCAAAAGAATTGAAGCAACACCAGCAAACATTTTTTTAAAATGTTTCTGTAGTCTCGCAACATTTTTACTATTACCAATAATTTCCAATAAATCCTCATCACCAACAAAGTAAAATCTTGGAAATGATGTTCTTTCTCTTTCCAAATATTCACCAAGTGCTTTTTGGATTTTACCCAAAAGATCAGCAAGACGTTCCAAAGCTCTTTGAACACCAGGAATATTTAAAACATCCATTACCATAGGCGATTTGGAAACTTTTTTCATTAGACCCAAAAATTCTGAACTTATACTCTGAAAACGTGATGTTTCAACGGGTAATAAAGTTTTAATATCAGCACTACCGGAAAATATTCCTTCTAAATAAACCCAACGTCTTTGAACATCAATCCAAACATCAAATAAGGCATTTATTCTATTTAATTTCTCCTCCCATGTTAAAGCTTCCTCTTCAAATACTTTATAATACGGTGATAATTTCATAGCAGCAACGGAATTAATATGTTCCTTTACTTTATTAAACAAATCGTCCCATCCTCGAATTAGACGACATTTATTTTGATAATTTATAAGATCTAATTCATAAGTTTGCCATGATTCACGTACTTGTTTGAGAAATTCTTCAAGTGCCATTTCACCTTGTGCAACGAGTATAATATCCTTGACGATTCCTTCATTCTTTTGTAAATTAACATCCCAAACTTGTCCAAGTGTAAGTTCACTGAGTATCCAACTAACTCTCAATTGTTTTGTAAGTTGTTTCCAATGTCTTTCTTTTAATGCATCAGATTTAAGTTCAACAATTAGCATATTAACTTTGGTATAACTTTGTAACATTTTTTTCACATATTCATAGGATGAATATTGTCTAAGTCTTGCTGGAAGTTCTTTTAATTGTGTCATCATTGTATCTAATTGTTGACGTAATTTTCTTGGTTGAACGGATAACCAGGGTTTTTCTCTTGTTTCATCAATTTGTGTCCAAATTCTCGATAATTCCGACCAAACGCCTCTTAAATCTTGAAGTTCTTCAAATATAACTTGCATTCTATCTTCACTTGCTGATGTTGAACCTGGTTCTTGTAATTCCAATGCCTCTTTAGCTTTAGTAACATTATCTCTTTCTTCCTTTAATCTTGCAAATTTACTTTCAAACATTTGTAACTGCTGAAGTGCATCGTCAGGTCGCAAATGACCCTCAACTGGTTTCCCCTTCTCCCAATCAGCGAGAAAATCAGTAGTCCTTGTCTCAACTGCTTTATCCTCGGCGACAATTTTCATTTGCAATGAAGCCACTTGTGTTTGTATATTACTATCCTTACGTTTAATAATTTCATTAAATGCTCCCCATTCACCGTCAATATTATCCACATGTAACCAAGTAGAGGGAAATTGAAATCTCTGCCTTTCCAGAATCCTCTGTCCCTCTCGATAAATATCAACCTGTTTTTCCCATACTTTCATTTTTCGTTTCAACGATTGAACATAAGTTATAAATCCAACAGCGTCCGTTGTACTCGCAGCTTCAATTGATTGTTGTTCAAGATCACTTCTCGATTTTGAAACTTGTGCATGAAAACTAGTCATTTCATTACCAAGGAGTGTACCGAATTTTCCCAATGTTTCCTTATGCCATGAATCATATTTCAAGGAAACTTTACTTTGTACTTTGGCAAAATCAATAATAATTGGTCCAAATTCCCTTCTAGTATCAGATGTATCGAATGTTGTTCTTGTCTTCTTTATATCATTCAAACACTTCATCCACAAACTTATATCTTCACCAAGTTTACCGTACAAATTATCAGGTTGCAAATCCCATAAAGCTTGATATCTCAGCCATTGATCTACATAAACGGCAACATCTTTCATTTTACTTTCAATAGCACCGTAAGCAGCTTCCAATGGTGTTTTACCAAGTGGTAATTTTGTCAATAAATTTCTATAAGTTCCAGATTCAGGTTTATCAAGACCAACCTGATATCTTGAACTTTGAAGACGAATTTGCGATGTAACAATTGCCTGCCATGCGAATAATTGTTGCATAATTTGAAATCGAGCATCCTCTATACTTGGATATAAATACATTGTTTGATTTGTGATTCGTACTTCGTGTATTTGATTTTGAATTTTAGGATCACCGCCTAATTTATGAGTTGGTAGAGTGGGAGCATCTGTATCCATACTTAAATCAATTTCTTTCTTATGACCCATAAGAGCGTCGGTCCATGCTTTTATGCCAGCTTCTAATCTAGTTGCTAAATTTTTTTCAACTTCTTCATCAAGTTTTGTCACCCATATATGTAAATTAGAATAGTTTTTCAATGACAATTCATCAACGGATTTTTGTATTTTTGACAAAATATCGGCAAATGTATTTGCTGAATATGGACATGTTTCCAATGAACGCACATCAACATCTAATTGTTCTTCAACTACTAAAAGATCTTCAACTCTTTCTTGAAATGAGACAACAACGTCTGATAGTCGTTGTACATATTGATCTAATTTGTAGCTTTCCCACACTAGAGCAATACCCTAAAAAAATGTAAAACAAAAACATTCAAGTACCGTCGCGAATTAAATCAAAAAAAATTATTGTATAAAGTAATATATCGAAATTCTGATAAACTTTTTAGTCATAATTTAGGATAATCATTATACTAGGTTTATACTGAAACACAGCCTATATCGCAACTAAATTTCAGCCGTCTTTTAATATAAGACTAAATAATAGCCTAAAACCTAACTGAATTTCAATTCTTTAACTAGCTTAGAGCTGAATTTCAGCTCTTATGGCATCTTACTTGCAGCTTTATAAGCGTATTCTTTTTAAACTTTTATACTGCACAACAGTATTGTCGATGTGACATCGACTGACCCAGCGTGTGCTGTGGAAGATTGTAAATCAAATTGAAATAAAATATTTCTGCCTAACTTACCTCAGAAATAAGAACCAAAACTTCTTTGCGCATTCCAGCTACTAGAGGAATGATATTTCCTTTATCTTCAATCTGAAATAGAATCATTTATATAAATATTAATTAATTGTATATATTAATTACAGTAGTTAAAGTTGTTCAATATAAAAATTCTTACCTTTTCTAAAGTCCTCTCATAAGTTCGAATACTTTCAATCAAACTAATCGCAAATGGATAGAGCTGATTTGCTTGATGGGCTTTATTAACGATTGCCAGTGGTACGCGAAAGCCAAGATTTTTTAAATTTCTCACTTCTTTAGAAAGAGTTATAATTTCTGGCAAAAAATTTACTTTCAGTTTCAATACATTTCCTCTGCCTAATCGAGAGCGCACACTTTCAATGGTAAAAATACGACCAGTAAAGCCAATATTACGTTGTTGTACTTTTCGAGCCCATTCATCAAAAATTTCTTGTGTCGAAAGCTTTGTACGAAAACTATCACCATCTGCTTTTAATTTTTGTCCCTCAATATGATTTTCCCATCCCTTACCTGTAAAAATTTTTTTAAATTAATTATCATTAATAACTGTTTCTTTTATATTAACCACAAATTTACCTAAAACATCTTCCACGCGTTTTAAGTACATTGTCAGTTGATAATCAATTTGTTTAACCCATATAATAGAACCAGCAACTGGTGGTAAATCTCTTATTAAACTCATTTTACAACATTTACTTTGTCCATATTGAACCTAGAAATAAAAATTGGAGTCATCAAATTGAAATTTAACAAATATTATACTAGTGGAATCTTTTAACGATTATTAATCAAAATAAACGTGCACCAACCCCATTATTCGAACACTTAAATTTATCTTTAAACTTACGCTGAAAACCAATGGGAAATTTTGAGCAAAGTAATCATCGGTGCAATGATGACCAAACAAGATTCGAACAATAAACAAACTCACCAATGCTGAGTTTACCAATAATTAATAAACTCAACAACAATTAACAAAGAATATAAATAGATTTATTAAAAATAACACTAGATCAAATACAATAAAAGCGTGAAACGCGATTCTTAGAAAAATATGAGATTTTACGAAATGCGACTTCTCAAATACAAGATCCAGTATCAAGACTGATCGAGAGGGGCAAGACGCAGACATAAACTAATATATATATATACCGTAAAAATGATTTCATACTGATCATAGGTAAACGCGAGTGCGATAGAGACGCAAATGGAACTGCGCATAAGAGTGTCTTCGTCGCACTCGTGAGCTGGTTTATAGTCAATCTTTCTTACTGTATAAGTAACGATATACTTCGTTACAATATTATTTAATAAAATAACGGATATGTTAGAATAAAAGCAACACATACCTTGAATTTTTCATGTAAAGCTTCAATATCGTCTTTTACTCTTTGTATCAATTGTGTTTGATATTCGCGTATGGCTCCTCGAATATGAGGTCTCACAAATAAAGCATTAAATCTGGAAAAAATTCTAAACATTTCATTAGCATTTTTAGCTGTTCCCAATTGATCCCTCAAATGTGCTGTTATACGTGCTTCAACACGTTCAATTCGTTCCTCATATCTGTGTACCGCAGCCTCCCATGATTCTAAACCTTCTTTTGTAATATCCAAACAATCAACTTCTTTAACATTTTCATAGGCAAAATTAACTTCTCCAATTGCATTTGCATCGGCTGCATCTAATGCAAATTCAATTTCAACATTATCATCTTCAGTATTTTCGATAGTTGAATTATTATTCTGTCTGACTGTTGGTCTCAATACACGGACAATAACTGTTCTTAATTGCTCATGTTGACGTCTAAAGCGACGCATATGCTCCATTCTTGTTTGAAGTTTTTTATGCGCTGGCGATACACGCCAAACCATTTTCATATGTTCATCGCGCTTCTTTTTTACAACATCTCTCAATAAACCAGTCAGTTTATCGTATTCGTCATCCCATGTATTAAATACTTCGAAACATTGACCCATTACTTTCTCAAAATCGTCAAATGGAATATGCATCAATCTTCGAGTTCCAAGCACTTTAAGCAATTGTTGTCCTAAATCTCTAGATATTGCTTCAACCAATCTTAATACTCTTTGTATTGGATATTTAGTGCTTCTAATTTTTCTTAAATGAGTAAAAATTTGTTGAACAGCTAAACGAATTCTTTCAAGTTCAGTTGCTGACAAAAGATCATTGATAGGGAAATCTTTCATTAATGGATTATAATCATTTACTGTAGCAAGAGTTTGTTTTAAACCAGTGTCAGTATCAAAACTAACAGTTGCATGAAAACGTTTTCCATGTTTCAATATATCAAGAGTTAATGAAATTTCCAAACTTTCACGTTTTTCTTGAATTCTATGCAACGCTCTTTCAAGATTTAACCAAAATGATATTTCCTGCAATGCTGTACCCGATTCTGGATCACGATTCAATTTTGTAACCTAAATAAATAAATAAAAATGTGTTTTATATTTAATTACGAGCTTTTTAATTTACTGAATTTACCTTTTGAATTTCTTTAATCCATCTATTCACGCCATTTTGTAATTGATTAAGGAATGTTGAATCTTCCACTTTTTCTCCAAAATCGGCTACTTTTGGTTTTCTGCTTTCATCACTGCATTGTTTAATTACCTGTAAGACAACTGGATGTATAGGTAAAGAAATTTCAGGAATGTCAATATTCTGTTGCAAATGCAAAAGACCCATTTCAAGTTCGGCGATTTTTTTTTCAACGGAAGGCGCCATTTTATCACCGTCTCTATCTGCTCTTCCAGTTTCTTTTACATAGCTTTTAAAATATGGCGCCATTGTTTTACTAATAGCGTGCAAAGTTTCATAAGCGGGGCCATCAGAAAGTGTAACAATACGTAATTGAGGATGAATTGCTTTATCGGCTTCCACTAGGGCGCCTCGTTTTATTAAAACAATAGATGACATTTTTGTATTTGTAAAATGAATTTCATTAGAAACATAGAAAGTAATGTTTTCTTTTTCATCTTCACTTTCGCCATTGTCTTCTTCTGTAACAAATAATTTGAAAACAAAATTAAATTTAGATTTTGCATTCAAATCCGAACAAACTTGACTTCTTATTCCGATATTCTGATCAGAATCAAAACAAAAGTGTTTTTGAATTTTGTTTTGATTCCGTGAAGGTCCCTACTAATAAATATAAATCGCGTTTATATTAACGAGAGTCATTAATTTTCGATGGTTCATTGAAAATTTAATAATATAAAATTTGTTCTGATTTTCCAAATAAATATTATAATCTGTACATATATACAATTATTTAAATAAAAACATTATAAAAATAAAATTATTTAACACAAATTATACAAACAATTTAATGTACATTTTTTCTCGAAAATTTTTATTTAAAATAGTAAGAACCCAAGCAGCTATAGGATTTCGTTCTTAACGGATTTTGACACTCTGAGAGATTACAATTCAAACCCCACTTGCCAATTTTGCATTCATTTTTGTAAAACCTATTCACCTCAGAAGCCTGGTACAATTATTCTCAAAATTTACAGAATAATAATAAATAATACCTTTGCTGGAACTTCTCTGAATATAAAGAGCCCAAACTTGTGTATCGCTTATAAATTTTCTTATTGACTCTTGACTATTCTTATCCTCAAGAGTGAGGTTAAAATTGGGTGGCACCTCATCTTCATCAGGAAGAAGAATCTTAACAATTTTTCGCAGATAATTCACAAATGTTGAATAATCAACAATGGCAATGTTTTGAGATTCTGGAGAAGGATCTCCGGACCCATCTAATGAATCACCCATTTTAAACCATTCAATTAAATGACATTTAAGTTGAACTGTTACTAATCAACGTATTCTGCACTTGCTCTTTACCGTCTCCTTCGTTTTCATGATCCAAGTAATAACAACCAAGGAGCCGCTATGCGCAGGTAAAAATAACTCCTTCAGTGGCGGCCATATTTGATACCGCAAATTTTTAATTACAAGAATGAAAAAAAAGAATTATTTGAGACGCATGTTCATCCTCTATCATTAATTACTTTAATTTATTTTTTCCTAAACTGTAAATAATAAAATATTAGTATAAAGTAATCGAAACCCTCGAGTTACGCGCAAGTACACAACCCTGGCTTTACGGCTCTTTGTGAACACACCTTTATGACTCATAACCTAACAACACTACTTTATCCTCTCTAATCTTTTTGTAGGTTGGGGGTAATTTAAATACATGAGGCACGTGTTGACTGTTTATTATAAATACTATATAGAAATTATTTCTTTAAGGTAAATTATATTCTTATTTTATTGTCGAAGAATTAGACATATATTTTAAATTCAAAAATTTATTTTCTAGGCGTGTTCTGCAAGTTACAGTTTTTCATATAAGAAAAACCATTACATTACTCGATTTTAAAAAAAAAATTAAATTTCTCAAAAAGGGCTCGATGAATGATTTTGATTTTTGCTCGGAATATCTTCTTTTTTTGTCCTAGGATACAATCCTGAAAGAAAATCTTGGTTGTTTTAATCTTTCATAATAATTTATTGAGAAGCAAGTTTTCAAAACCTGATAAATCCATATTTTCTTATGTCGAGAAATTGAAACAAATGACTTTTCTCACATAACAACTACAGTTACTTTTAAAATATAAAATTTGTAATAGTTTAATTCTATAACAATGTTTTCATATTCAAGACGTTCTGTTTTTAATTAAACTTTATCATAATTTAGGGCTTTAAAAGTTTTGGTAATTTTTTTCTAATCAAAAACAAAAATTATAAGTCATCTTGGTTATGTCCATAAATTTTTTAATTTATTTACTTTACTTTTATGACTGTAAAACATAAAATTTTTAAGTTTTCTATTTTTGAATTATTTGTTACTGATTTCTATTATCATTATTGATTAAAAATCATTTTATTTTAATATAATTGAAATGGAATTAAAATAGCAATTTAGCTTTCTCAGATAGGAAGTCCTTTTTAAAAAATGAAATAATTAATTTAACAATTAAGAATATGTTTAAGGTCAGTTGGGGTAAATAGAAACAGTAGTTATTTCAGTTAAATAAAAAAATTTTTTAAATAAATACAGCCTCAAACCTTGAACCATAGATCACCCCCAAAAAGATTTGAGGCCGTATTTATTTTTGATTTAACTGAAATAACTACTGTTTCTATTTACCCCAACTGACCCTATATTAGGATAGTTTTTTCACATTAAATTTTTTTAACGAATTGTGAAACAAAGAGATCCCTTTTTATGTAAATACCCACTTATATCTAAAAGAATTAAAAATTATTTTAATAATTGACAATTTTTTTATGTGCAGCGAAAAATGATTCGCTATAATCGTGATGATGACGATGATCCAGACATGGATGACATTGAAATGTCTGATGATAGTTCGGAAAAAGTTTCATTTAGTAGAAAAAAAACTGAAACAGTAACGGAGGTACTTGGTTTCAAAAGTGATGATGACGATGACGAAGATGATGAAACTCAAGAAGTTTCAATGGATAATGACGAAGATATACCCAACACTCGAGCTTGGGGTAAAAAAAAGAAAACATATTATTCCACGGATTATGTCGACACCGATTATGCAACGTTAAATGAAAAGGATGAGAAGCGAGCAAAAATTGAGGAAGAGGAAGCAAAAATTATTCAGAAACGAATGGCAAAAGAATTGGATGATGTTGATTTTTCTTTGAATACAATAACAGATGAGCAAACAGAATCTAAAGAAAATATAAGTCATGTTATTAAAGTAGACATAAGCAAATTTAGTAATCGGCAGAAATTCGAATTAATGGAAAAGGAAAGTCCGGAATTTTTAGTATTACTTCAAGATATTAAAGGTAATTGTAAAAACTTAACTAAAAGTATTCAAAATGAAAATAAAACAAATTATTTTTTTTCAGAACAACTGGCTGAAATAAAATCTACTCTGAATCCTTATTTGAAATCGATGAAGGCCAAAAATTATTCAAATAACGCAGCATTTCAATTTATTCAAAAAAAATATCAGACAGCTTTACATTATTGTGTTAATATTATATTTTACTTAACTCTCAAATCAAAACGTTTATTTTTCAATTCACATCCAGTGATTAAAAGGCTGGCACAATATCGACAGCTTTTAAATCAAATGAATACAATTCAAGAACAAGTTTTACAAAAAGCGAAAAAATTATTGGAACTATCGGAAAATGAAAAATCTTTGAAAATTGAAGATGGATTTGTAACGTCACATGTTAACAGAAAACAACTGGAACATTTGAAAAGTAATGATGATCTGTCTGAAGAAGAAGAAGGAAGTGATAAAGAAATTACAGAGCCGTTGGAGGACAATATTGAAAATAGTACTGAAAGAAGATTAATAACTTACCAGATAGCAAAAAATAAAGGACTTACTCCACATCGTAGTAAAGAACAACGTAATCCAAGAGTGAAACATAGAAATAAATATCGAAAGGCAATGATCCGAAGAAAAGGAGCTGTAAGTATAAATAAATTCACTAAGACTTTTTTCAAAAACTCACACTCTCATTTTGAATCAGTGAAATAGCTAGAAGTCGGTTACTGAATCATTTAGTGAAATTTTACTAAATGATTCAGTAACCGACTTCTACCTATTTCACCAGTGAAATTTCACTGATTCAAATTAAGAGAGCATGTTTTCATTAATCAAATTAATTTTTCCAGGTTCGAGAAGTTAGAAGAGAACTTAAACGATATGGAGGCGAAATGTCTGGTATTAAAACGGGAGTAAAGAAGAGTATCTCATTAAAGTAATCAATACTTTAAAGGAGATTTACAAAGTAATGAAAGGAATAAATTCTAACAAATTTTGGATATATGCATTTTTAAAGATTTATTTATAAATTTATAAATCTTAATACAAAAGATGATTAATATCTTATTTGAATGAGTTTATTTGTCTCTTTAATCTAATTCTTCGTTAGATCATTAAACAGTAAAACAAAATTTTATTTTATTCTATATATTAAAAAATAGAATAGTTTCTTACAAATGTAAAATTAAAATACTGTTGAGAAATAAAATATAGAAAACTTATTTATTAGATCCACTACTTAAATTTCGTTTTTAAACCTCAATGTACACGTGGTAAAAGAAAAATAAATGTAAAAAAAATGACTACACAAAATTTCTCAATGGGACAAAAAAAATTATATTATTTAGAATTAATAACTTTTTCAATATGGCCCTTAAGTGTTTGTAATTGCCGCACTGTCTCTGCATCAAGATTAGGAATATTTGAAAGACGCAAGCCATCCCTTGGCAAAAGTGAAATAACATCACCATTGTTTAATGGAACATTAACATTTGCTGAACGTTCTTGAATAACAGCTGATACCAATAGCGGACTGCCTTGCATACTTAGAACCATTTCTCCTTCTCGAGGACGTCGCAATATACTCATTGGAGTATTTGGTTTCACTTTTGGCGTTACTGGTTCGAATTCATTCATTGATGGTTTTAAATTGGCAGGTGTTTTGAATTTATTTGAATTCATTTTCGATTGATTAGTGTAATTCGATGTTGGTTTTGTAGCAGTCTTTTGTACCGAATTAGTTAATTTCGTTTTTCTAGATCGCGATGAACTTCGCAAACGTAATTTTGAACTAGTAGTTGTTGCTCGTGATTGTCTTGTTCCTCCTTCAGTTACATATCCATCATCAGATGTAACTGTTGTTCTTTTATCTTGTTTTTTAAATTTGAGATTTGAAGGTGGAGGAGAAACAAATGATTTATCCACATTTTCAAACGATGAATCAGGTTCCTTATAATTATTTTCTTTATAATCGCGAGATAAAATCTCGCTAAATGAAAGCTTTTTTATATCTAATGGTACATTTGTTAAACTAAAGGTGATATCACTTTCTAGACTTCTCATTTTCATTTCATATTCTCCTTGAAATTTTTGTTGTAACAATTTACATTGTCTTTCGAAATCTTTTTTTATTGAATACACATCTGCTGATGAATCTCGACTTTGCTTCAATTTTCCAGCTGGCCTTGTACGTGGCATTTTCTTTTATTTTCAAGCAGCAACAACTGGAACCCAATATGAAATTATTCTTCGTGATTTCAATCTAAAACAGTGAAAAAATTTTTCTGTAATTATTGTAGCTTAAAAATATAAAAATAAGTTTCAATTTCATACGACAATTTTTTGCTTAATAAAACTATATTGACGCCTCACGTACATAAAATACTAACATAATTGCAGGCCTTGGATCGACTTTAAAGTGTAAAAAAGTCGTTTTAGTTGTATACAAGCATTCTATTCTAAAAAAAATAAATGTTCAACTCTACACGAGAAAAATTTTCTAAAATAATAATGCGTTTAACTCTATGCTGTTAACTGTTTAACTCTCTAACTGTACAGAGATAATATCGATTAATTAAAAATTTTATTTTCATTTATCTGTACACAGTTCAATTGTGTACAAGCATTCTACAAACAAATAAATGTTTAACACTTGCATAGTTTAATTCGACAAATGTAACTTGCTTGTATACAATTAAACTGTATACAGATAAACGAAAATAAAATTTTTAATTAATCGATATTATCTGTGTACAGTTAAACTACATAGAGTTAAACGCATTATTATTTAAAAAAATTTACTCGTGTAGAGTTGAAAATTTATTTTTTTTAGAATGCTTGTATAGAATTAAACTGTATACAGATAAACGAAAATAAAAAATGTTAATATATCGAAATTGTCTGTGTGCATTTAAACCGTGCAGTCTCACAAATTTTGTATATAACGAAAATATAAATTACATATTCAGTCAACTTTCGCGTTAAACATTTGCTCACATGCAGATATTTTAATATTTAAATAATTTTTTCTGAACCCAGCAATTCAATACTCCCAAGTTAACCTTTAAACATTCAATGAATCTTCGGGGAATTTTCAGTGCTGTGTGGGATTAAACTGTATCGAATTTAACATTATTTATTTTTTAATTTCGCTGTATACAATTGAACTATATAGAGTTGATCTGTGTACTACTAAATTGTGTACAGCCGATATCATGCCGAAAAAAATTATCTTGCACAATTTTTTTTTGTTAACTTTATATTGCAGTTGTTTTTCAATTACAATTATCTTGCTTTGACATTTATGTTAGCATTTTATGAACGAAAGGCGTCGATATTATTGACGAACTTGAACTTTAGTAATGAATGTAAGGAGAATATTTGACAAGCCACTACACAAATATTTTGGAGGGAGAATCGTATATAAAGAGATACTTGCCAATGATCAGGCCAAGAAACTGTAAAAACTGTTGATGAAAACCAACTAATTTCCTCTTTATTATTTTGTTTATATGAGGTGACTAGGAATGAACGTGAAAGCTTAATTAATCTCCTTTATGAATATGAGTTGTAACGAATTTTTGTTTGAAATGCAGTTTGATCACCGGTAATCCTAACACCAAAGAAAAAGGACTATTCACATCCATTCTCATTTCATGGCATGTTCTCATTTAAACGTTGACGTCAGAGTACAGAGGAACCTCCGAAATGTGACACTCTGATAGGGAAGTTAAGGTGAATCTCTAATGGCAATTTTCTCAGTGGCAGTAGCCTTAAAGCTGCTTCACAACTGCTTTTCGTTGGAAATCGATAGCCTGAATTTCTATTCTCCATGCTAAATTTCATATACTACTGCCCTCTTCGTACTACTGCGTTCAGTAGGTGAGTTGATTAAACTTTCAGTTGTCAATATTAAGCGCAATCCTTTAGTAAGAGAAAAATTCAAAAAATAACTTTTTAAATTATCGACGCGGTTCTAATGATATAATATAAAAACAATACTAAAAATACTTTTTGGAAATGGAATTTAAGGGCGCACTCACACCTTTTGGCTGCCTGCCTGCCTGCAGGAGTTGTCATGGCAACGTGAAGGAGTAACAGAGATAGTAAATTCAAATTTGAATTTTCTCTCTCTGTTACTCCTACACGTTGCCATGACAACTCCTGCAGGCAGGCAGGCAGCCAAAAGGTGTGAGTGCGCCCTAAAAATTTGTATAAAAAAATTAAAGCTGGCCATCTATGAAGAGGACTTGTTACTAATAACCATGCCGCATTTATGTGTATAATATTTTTGCTTTGATTATAATGATAATTCATAATTAGAAATCAACAACATATGTTACAAACGATATATATTGTTATAAAAAAGAGCCCTAAGTAAAAAAAGTTTCGTTCAAATTTAATTGTCATCATCTCTGTGAGAAGAAAAAATTTACTTTGAAAGGGTAATAATAATAGTTTTTTAACCGTTTTGTTTACATTTCGAGACATGTGGTCACAATATTAAAAATAATCACTTTTTCGACCCGATGGGAAACCTAAAATTCTCATATCTATTTCTTTAGAACTTCATAAGGAACAAGAAAAGCATACTCATTTACCCTATTCACGTGGGGAAAGGGGTATAATCTCTTTCTTTAATCATAAATATCTAAAAACCCGGCGTTTTCTTGAATTTGAGAAAAGCAAATTGACGAATAGGACCGATTTCTGAATTCGGAAATTGTATTGGTCTAATTCGTAAAATTTTTTAAGCGTGAAAATAAAGAAAATTAAGCTGTACAGGACAACTAAGAAGCAATGAAATGTGATAAATGCTTACCAATGAAGGTGAATAATACTGTTTGTCAAGTGATTTTGTCAATATTAAATTACGACCCAAGTAATAATACTGTAATATTACAGTAACATTACAGTAATATTACAAAAAAATTCAAAAACCGCTTTAAAAATATTTGACTGATTAATTATTATCTTTTTCTGTTTTATCATAAAAAAACTTTCAAATTTTTATGTATTTCAAATAAGCGTGTAATATTACAATAATTAATAATATTACAGTAATATTGTCCGGTAATATTACCATGAGACGGACATTTTAATATTACGGTAATATTACGTGTTACTTGGGAACTAAATATTCTGTAGTGACGTCATCGTCATGTTGTATTTCAGTGCTTCTCAATGTAAAATGTTAAAACAGTGAAAAATGGTGTTATAAGTGAATGAATTGAAATTAAGAAACTTTGGTGAATTGTTTTCGTAATAGTGTCTTTTAAATGTGCATTGTTTGTTATTTCAAAAAAATTTAACCTCACTTATTGATATGAAAGTGTATTTATAATACAAGAAATATAAATTCTAAGAACTATACTTTTATAATAGATTATATTATAAAATGTTTATTTCTATTGATGTAAATAATTCTTATGAATAAATATTGAGATACCTAATAAATAATATGTTTATTTTAGCATATTACATTTATGTTGATGCAGGAAACAGATTAAAAAGTATTAAAATTTGTTCCCATATATCAAATTCTACCAAAAATAAGTATATTTATTTTTCCTATCGATCAAAATAATTGATAGAATATTACATAAAGTACACTGCGGATTCAGAAAACGGATTAAAAAGTATTGAAATATTTTTCTATAAAATTTTTTAAACAGATATCCATTGATCGGGGTAAAAATTGCCATTTGAAATTTATTATGCTACAAAAATGGAGCCCTTGATAACAGGGCAACCATACATTATTACACAGACCTAAAAACCTACCCATACTTGTTTTTATGTGTACTTTAACATAATTCATTGACAAAAAAATTTTTTGGATGGCTTTTTTTGCATCATTTGTAAATTATGATATAGATATGCGAATTTTAGGTTCCATGTCGGGTCGAAAAATCGAATATTTTTCACATATTGTCCTTCACAATTCTTTTTAATTATGACCTCGTTACTGGATTGCTTTGCGCAGTCTTATCTTTTTTTAAAGAAATGTCAGCGAAACGTCTGGACATAGTTATATTTGGAGCAACAGGTTTTACTGGTAGAGTTGCTGTTAAAGAAGCTGCTTCTTTATCAAAAAAATACAATTTCACATGGGGAATTGCTGGACGCCGTCAAGAAGCATTGGAAGCTGTCATTAATAAATTCGCTCCAAATTCTGGTAATTTTTTTCCAATTAATAACGCTTGTGAGGCTACATGTATCAAACCCTATTTTTCTTTATAAATGCAGGCATAATCACGTTTGTGAACCACTTACAGGTATTCAAAATGTTCGACTCCCTCACGAACGCTGACAATGAGCAAAGTATTTTGCACACTGATAAACAGCGTGCAAAATGAGCAAAGTACTTTGCGCACTGTTAAGTAGTGCGCAAAATACCTTGGTCATCGTCCATGCGCAATGTGAGGGAATTGGTTATTCTGGATAGCTGTAAGTGGTTTGCAAACGATAGTTTTGCATGCATGAATAAAAAAAATTTATTATCTATAACATTTTTTCTTTAGAAAATGTTCCGATAATAATTGCCGACATAAGAGATCAAGAATCATTAAAAAAGATGGCCGATAGTGCTAAAGTAATTGCAAATTGTTGTGGGCCCTTCAGATTTTATGGTGAGGCAGTTGTTAAAGCTTGTTTAGCTGCTAAAACTCATCATGTAGATGTCAGTGGAGAGACTCAGGTAATTTTATATCATTTGCCATTGTTCCCGTGCAGCATCAAGCAGTTTCTTGAATTTGCATTACGAATTATAGGAATTAAGATAGATTAATAACAAATGATTTTTGAAATTTAGTACATGGAAAAAATGCAATTAGAATACAATAAGGCTGCACAAGAAGCAGGTATCTACGTTGTAAGTGCCTGTGGATTTGATAGTATTCCTTGCGATCTCGGTATTCTTTATACTCAAAATAATTTTCAAGGCGAAATAAATACCATAGAGAGTTATTTAAATTCTTGGAATAATTCGAATGCTGGAGGAGCATCAATTCATTATGCAACATGGGAGTCTGCTATTTACGGTATAGCACATTATAATGAATTACGTGAAATTCGAACAAAACTTTTTCCTAACAAGTTGCCAAAATTTGAACCAAAACTTCCAAATAGGTAACAAAATCAAAAAGATTATTAATATTTAATATATTTATTTACTTATAAATAAATTGAAATTATTAATCGTCATTTATTTAATAAATAGAGGCACTGTACACAGAAGCATAATTTCTAATGGTTGGTCTACAGTTTTTCCCGGTTCTGATCGTTCTGTTGCATTGCGCACACAACGTTTTTTATATGAAAAAAATAAGCAAAGACCAATTCAAATTCAGACCTACATTACATTTCAGTATGTTATATAATTAAAAATATCCATTCATCAAATTATTAATTTATAAATAAAAATTAATTTGTTACTTAATGAATAATGCTTCTTTTAGGTCACTAGTTCATGTAATGGCAATGGCCTTTTTCGGTGGAATATTCTTGCTTTTAATGAAATCAGAATTTGGGCGAAATTTATTACTAAAGGTAATTTTCTTTCTAAATTACGGAAAAACTGTTTATAGTGCTATTGAAATTTTTTTTCTTAATTTTTAAAGTAGCTTTGAATTGTTTCCAAGAATAATTTTCTAATATACAATTTTGAATGATATAGCATCCAAAATTCTTTTCTGGAGGTTCGATTAGTCACGAAGGACCAACTGAAGAAAAAATGGAGAATTCTATGTTCTCGATAACATTTAAGGCTACGGGTTGGAAAGAAAAATTAGTTGAATTATCTGACAAACATGTTAATCCTCCGAATAAGGAATTAATTACAAAAGTTACTGGCAAAAATCCCGGATATGGACTTACAAGTATATGTTTACTTTTAGCAGGCATCACAATTTTACGGGAATCTGATAAAATGCCTGATAAGTAAGAAAAAATTATTTTAATACTTAAAAAGTAATACTTCTTTATTATATTATTTGTATTAATTTATTAATCGTCTACTTTAGTGGAGGAGTTTTAAGTCCAGGTGCTGCATTTGTCAATACTTCTTTAATGGAAGAACTAAAGAAAAATGGTATGACCTTTGAAATAATTTCGTCAACTGAATAAATATATGGGTAATCATTTATTTCCAAGAAATATAATATATAATTGCAATATTATTTATAAATAAATGGTTTTAGTAGACAAGAAAATATATTTAGCCCTTTTCTTATTTGATGACAGTGATCTATTCTATATTTATATTAGTCTATATTACTTTATACTTTGTAAATGGTAAACTACAGTTTTTATATTTCTAAATAAATAAATGTCTTGATTGAAACTCGGAAGTTGAAATGGCATTTACTCAATTAAAGAAAATACTATGTACACAACCACTATTACAATATCCAGATTTTACAAAACCTTTTATTGTAACAACCGATGCTTCTGATTTCGCAATAGGGGCAGTTTTAAGCCAGGGTGAATTTGGAAAAGATTTGCCTATTGCTTTTGCATCAAGAACGATGGGTGGGACACACGCTATAGTACAACTGAAAAAGAACTTTTAGCTATAATTTTTGCAATAAAACAATTTCGACCTTATATTTTTGGAAAATGATTTACTGTAGTTACTGACCACCGGGCATTAGTTTGGTCAAATCAATTAAAAGATCCTACTATAAATTCAATATTAGCAAGATGGAAAATAAAATTGCAAGATTATGATTGTGAAATTATATATAGACCGGGGAGGGTTAATTCCAATGCAGACGCTCTTTCTCGCAACCCAATATCCGAAAAAGTAGAATTTAAATTAAAAGGGGAATTTAATGAAAATTTAAATAAACAAGGAAATGAAATTGACAATAGTTATAATAATGAAAATCAAATAGAAAAGTTATTTATATCTAATGTAGGAAAATAAATTAAAAGTGAGGAAAATAAAGAAAGGGAAATAAAAATAAAAATTGATGAGTTAAAGGAAAATAAAAAAGGTAGAGACAACATTGACGAAACTGTGACTAATTTGATATTGATCAAGGGAGCGAATCTAAATCTCAACATTCACTGGTCCTAATTGTAACATCGTTATATCCCGCGAAATAATAAATTTAATAGAATCACCAATTATAATTTAAGATTTTATAATAAATTTATTGTTTCATTTTATATGAATTGTTTTAATAATATTGTGAACATATTGAACGAGAAAATTATTGGATTATCGCCAATAACAATAACGAGTGCCAAGGATCTAACCTTTTCAATCTGGGTTTGTGTAATATTATCATTGGTGACTTTTAAAATTAAAAGTTTTAGAGATTTAGTTTGCAATTTTCTGGATTTTGTATGCCTGTATACAGAGGACAATTTAGCATTGTACAAACCGTAGTACAATTACATTTATAGTTTTGATCATCAACTTTTGTATCGACAATTGACGTGATACCTTTAATACTAACAATATTGTTAAGTGGTCCGTCAATATCATTTTTAACATGAAATAATCCCTCCTGTTTGTAAGCTATACTTTTGGCAATCCGTAACAACAGAAAACACATTGTATTAGCGTCAGTTAAATTTCGTGGATAAGGTGAGTATTTTCCACTTCGTATAATATATACATTAAAAAGAATATTCCGCATAAATTGTGCAGTTGTCCGGTTAAGAATGGTATTATAGTCGCTGGTATAGATAAGTTGTACTTGTGGTCGACAATTCCATAAGACGTCCAAAACATTTGTACAATTTTCTGATGTAATTCTTTTTTTTATCATCGATGATTTTTGTAAATTTCGATAAATTTTTAGCGAATTTATTTTATGCACATAAATATGTACATACAAAAAGCACTGTTGATTGTAAGAAATTTTCATGTGAATTTTAAAGCTAAACGAATTACTGCAACACAAGTTACAAAAGGCTTGTTTTTCTATGATAACGTAAATATCAATGAAATCGTGTTGGCGTTTAGATTTAAGTATAACTTTATATCCATCGTGACATGAATTCATGAACATTTCGACTAAATAAAATTGATTTTTTTTCGCTTCTCGAATCTCTTTTATGAAGGTGGGCATTTTAATTTCCGATAGCAATTCAGTACCCCACTGTTGAATTGAGGAACGAGCTAAAAGTATTCGGAAACGTGAGTTAACAACGTCAGCATATTTGTTAATGTAGCGTTTAATACTGGTGCAAAAAATGGTAATTGTTTCTTGGTAGACATAGACAATAACATCAAGAATATTTTGGTATCCATAATCACATAAGAGTCGAAAACCAAAAATGATAAAGTTATCAATTAAATGTTGAAGTGTAGCTTCTTTAATGTTGAGTCGAAAACAAATGAATTTAAAATTATCAGCAATATTATAGTGAATATGATGTAATGGTAAATTTTCAATAATTAATTTTACATTATTACTGTTACCTTCATTGTCATTATTAATGTCGCTATTAAATTGAGTTCCAAATATAATTTTATTCATTACTGGATGATGGAAAGTAATTGCTTCATTAGTTTGGAATTCACCTGTACTATTTAAATTTATACTCTTCGATGAAAAGATCTTTTCTTCAAAAATATTATTACTAATATTTCCATGATCATTGCTGTTTAGTAGACTACAATCATCATCATTGTCAGCGTCCAGAACAGTGCAGTTATCATCCAACTTCTCATTAAGATCATTAGCGTTATCACTACTGCTCTCACTTGTCAAATCATTATCGGATTTAGTAATTGCATTAGAATTCGTGATCATAGTAGTAATTTTATTCAAGTTTTGTTGTGTTGATTTGATAATGCGTTTAACACTAAGTGAAGATTGCATTTTCATTTCCAAATATTTATTAGCAATCAAATTTGGCGAATCGTCGAGGTTATAGGCAAGAATAGAATACATTTGTTGAATATAATTAATAAAATCATCGTCAAAGATTTTGTATAATATTTTTAAAATTTCTTCATTATTACTTTCCAATATTGTCGATGAAACGAAATAATTAAAATATTGAACTAATTCAATTAATCGATTTAAAGTTGAAAGATTATCATCAGACAATTCTGCACCACTTTGTTGACATTTTTTAACTAAAATTTCAGCCGTATCTTTTGATTCGAGAAAATTCATGAATAATATTTCACAATAATCATGAGCCAAATATTTTGATACTTTGCGTTCTAATAAAATTTTGTAGGAAAATTTCATTATAACATCATATAGACGCTGTGATTCTTTATCAGTTGCATAAAATGTAACATTATCGCGAAAATAGAACGCCATTGAATAAACATTCAAAGAAACTCGAGTGCCATTAGCAAAATTTGTACAAATTGTTGTGTGACAACTGTAGACTAGCGCAACGAAGCTTAGACTCGAAATATCTAGTTTTTTTCGAATGCACAAATTGAAAACAATAAAAAGAAGTCTTTCGCGAATATCTACAGATAATGTATGCAGTGTATCGCAATAATATTCTTCTTTACACAAAATTACTTTATTACCCAATTGTTGTGATCCACAAATTTGAAGAAAAATTAAATTAATTGATCCATATTTTAATTGTGAAAGATTCATTTCTTTCCATTGGAAAAAATAAGCATATGTGATCAACTATTCAAAGTCGACAACAGACTATTGAGATATGTTGCATAATGTTATATCGCATCGTTTATATTTAGTTTTAATTTTTCAGAATGTGGTGAACTTTCTCTTGCGTTGAATTAACGTTAAAACATATCAATTGGTGTATCTATAATTATTCTTTCAAACCAAGTGTAAAGCTCCAGACAGAATGTATATAATCATTAATGTATAATCCCACTTATATTAACATCGGTTTCTCTTCGAATTCAGAAAATATAAAATTTGTAGGATTACTTTAATATCCTGTTTTACTGAGAGAAAATACCTTGTATTATCACAAACCTATGGAATGTAAAGAGGAGTCACGATAATCCATAACATTTAGTTGGCTCCTTATTAATTAAAAAAGGTGGAAAATGCAACCCGCATATGAAAATTCGTGCGCGTTCTTTGTGAAAATCTTGTATAAAAACGTCCACATTTGCCTGGAGAGTTCACTTCATATTTTGGTATCAGCACGTCTTCGTTACATACGAAATCTGGTACAAGCATTGTTACTCTGCTCGATTTCATACTCAAGTTCGACTTAGAAGAATTTCAAGTCAATTATTAAATAATTATTAAAAATAAAATATTATCTTCTAAGTTATTTTCTCATTTTTGGCACGTATCAGTATTTAAAACAAATAAAATATCACACTAAAAACGTATAGATCCAAATAGAATAAATTAATAGATGGGATAGGACAAACGGATAAAAAAGTAATAGATACGGATCGATAATGATAAACGAAATGTACAAATGTATATTTAAGGTAGGAATCAAATTTCGAATAGGCAAAAACTTTAAACAGAATTTTTTATAAACGATCATTATTTTTCTTAAAATTATTAACAAAAGTAATAGTACTTACAGTGTCTCTCATAAGAGCTATAATAATTCTTCAGTTAATACATAAGAGAGCTTGCTCTCACATTTTAACGAATATCACTGTCGGTGGATTACTTTACACAACATTTTCTTATATTTTCATTTTAAGATAACTTAATGTATTACATTGTTTTAAGTATTAAGTTCTACTTGCGGAAAAATTTAATTTACATTGTTATTTAAAAATCAAAAACTGAAAATTAAAAATTATGTTTAGTTATTTGTCTAGAGTTTGACAGAATTAAGTAGTTGGCTGTTACAATTGAGGAACCAGATCAAAAAACTCAATCTGTTATAGTGCGCAAATCCCTAGCTCAGCTGGAAACTGGCTCAAAGAAAGGACATCGAATGACGCGCAGATTAATTTTTTTTAATCGAGAAACTCAATTGAAACTGTTTAAGATAAGAACATTTGTAAGTTTATCAAGCCCATGTACAAGTTCCACTACGCCACGCAAATTTTTTGTTCGATTTTATGTCTAAATGAAATAATTCATTAACCTTGAAACTTAAAAAATGGTACAAACAGATGAAAAAGTTGTTATTTACACTTATTTTAAATTCACAAAATAATTTTTTTGTTAATTTTAACCTAAAATAACACAAATCAACTTTTTTATCTGCTTTTAAGATTCCTAAAGCTTCTATCAAAAATTTTTATTTCACTCAAACAATGAGATACGTCATGAAATTTTTTTTACCTAAAAGCCACACTTGAAACTTAGACATGACTTTAAAGAATATATTTGCTTAGATTTAATCAATTTAAAAGATAATTTGTTGCGAATGCATTTATTTTTCACTCAAAGTTCTCATGAAATTAACCGAACTACAACTTGGCAATTTCGCAGAGCCTTTGAGGCAATCTCAGAGTATATTTCGTCGTGTTAACATTCGCAGAGAGATTGACTCAACTACAAATCAGTTGACTTAACAAATTATTTTTATCAGTGTTGTTTTTTTTTGTTTCAATTTTATAGTATAATATTTTTAAAATTTCCCGTCTGTTTCGCCTTTTTGCAAAATCTTTAAATACAAATACATTTCAAGAATGGAAGCAAAATGTTTTATCATTAGTAAACGAAATTGATTGTAATTCTCATATCCTATATTAAAAATACAACAACTAATTTTTACAATATTATAGTTTTAATACTTATTACCTTACATCACCAAATATCTCAGGATATCCTAGGGGTATCGCTAGGACTTTCCTAGGACATTCTGAAGATATAGCGCTATGAGGATTATAGTCAAAATAATAAATTCTGATGATGAATGAAAATTTTCAATTAATGTTATATCCTCATGATTACGTAAGAATATAAAGTAAAAGGATAATATTTTATAGGTTTATATTTATTAAAAGAATAAATATAACATGTTACTTTAAGTACAAAAACATTATAAGTAAAATATTATTGGGTTCTGAGTTCAGAAGAAATTTAAGTTATTCAAGAACGAAATAAAGAGTTTTAGCCAAACTTAAATATTTAACGAAATTTATCATTTTAAAAGCACATCATTATATTCTAGGATTAAAAATATTTTTAGTTATTTAATTGTTTTAAATATTTTGCATTTTAAATACATGTAGGTTTTGCGTGAACATAAATCTGATACCCATACTGTTAGAAAAGTGGCTAACTTTAATATACAAAAAGGAAGCTACTTTTATAAATGTACATTGGACAGATACAATATACAAATACAAGAAAAATTACTAAATTCATTCAAATATATTTTCACGAATTCATGTATAAAAATTTATGCATTTCTGTATATGAACTTCTCTTCAACTATTACAACCCATGGCTACTCCAGTGGAGAATTCTATAGTATAAAAATTCATGTGTTTCTATATATGAAATATTTTTTAACCATTACAATTTACGGCTACCCTACTGAAAAATTTTATATGTAGGTTCCCATATAAAATCTTATTAAAAAAAATATATAGATGTCTGCAAAGATCTTTTTTATCTATTTAATAATTCCTTATTTTTGTTGTAGAATAAATTTTTTTGACTGTAAAACAGCTTTCAAATTTTTCAGGAACAATTGTCAAAATATTATGCTACTTAACACAAGGGAACTCTGCAAAAAAAAACTTTCATTTGATTTGCACAAAAATATCATTGCGGAAAATACATTTTGTCAAGAATGTAAGATGATATTAACTTGAAATTAAAAATATTTATTTATAAATACTATATTTTTTATAATCTAAAAATTAATTATGTAACTAACATTAAAAACTGAGAAACTTTCACAATTGGAAGCAGACAATTTTCAAACAATTGTTTGAAAATACATTGTGTAAATTACAATCTGTCATTACCGTGTAATTGTAAATCTAATAGAGTACACACTATTTTTATTTAATTTTTTATTATATTATAAATATTCTACATAAGGAAAAGTAACATTTTTGTACAAAAGGGGTCAGACTTAAATGTAAAATGTCAGCTCCATGGCATGTCATTTCGTTGATTGTATTCTTACCCAATTAACCTGAAAGTTTTCAGCAATACGTCGAGCTTGCAAAACTTATGCTTACAACTCGTAAGTTTGCAAAGCAAGCTTTTAGCAAGCTTAGTAGTTGAAAGGACATTTGCTACTGCAGGTTAATTGGGAATATGGGCAATTTTTATCGTTTCTAAACCAATATTTTTCAGGATAGTGGAAAGTTGAAAGTAATTATTCTCCTATCCGCTAGTAATATGCAAAAAAATTTCATTTTTTAATTACTAGCTAAAAGTGGCTTTAATTGTTATTAAAGGTAATCAAAAACAATAGTTTTTTTTGTACAGAAGTAAATGACATAGAAAAATACTGGAACAAGTTTGTCAAACAAATTTTAAACATGATTTACTGTGGTCAAATGATAATTTTTAAAAATTATTATCATTAAAGAAATTTCTGTATGTTTTTCTTACGGAACTTACACCCTACATTTCACGATATTATTTAGGAACCTTGCAGTAAACTTTGCAACTTTTCAAAATATCTAAGATACTTCGAATTCAACCATATTTTTAGAAATATTGCAACTATTTTAAATTTAAAATTGAAACAATTCTTTTTCTAAGTACTCATTTTGTTACATATATTACTGGTCGTTTATTACCACATAAATGAGTATTTATTTTTAGTTTTTGCATGTAAACTTTCTGTTTACCAGGAAGACGCTTTTGTAGTATCAACTAAATTTACTTGCTGTCTTCCTATAAACATGCTTACCGAACAATGTTCCGCAAAATTTCAACTTTGTTTCCTGAAAAATTTTGAGCTGTTTCAGAATAATTCTTTGAAAGACTAAATATGGAGGTCTACATAGAATTTTTCAATCGAGTGAGCTAATATATAAGCTACCTATATAATGAATGGAATTCCACTATATTAAACCATTAACGCGGTGTTCCACAGTGGCACTTTGTAAAAATGTCCCTCAACATATTTAATTTAAAAAGAAAAAGAGATTTTCAAAAAACGGTAATTCATCACAAAATCTGGAAAAATACCACATATCCTAAATTTCTGTTCTTTCAGGTATCTGATATTTTTCAGATTTTGCTAGAACTGTCCGAGAAATACTTTTCAAAATTAAATAAACAATAATTGGCGACTAGTTTTTTATAAAGTATTGTGGAACACCGTTAAGTGATTTTTTGAAAACAGCCCTATTTGTCATGTAAGTTATCTACTTTAATATGATACAAAGAACAATTTTTTTTAGGATTTTGTACCTGTAATGTTTTTTGTAATTTAAAGATTTTATATTATTATAAGGATATGAATATTAGTCAAGCCATGAGCTCTAATGTGTTATTATGTAAAGTACTCAAATTTTAGATACACTTTTAGATTAAATGTGCATGAAATTTCAACATATTTCTAACACTGTACATATTCTTTTAATAAAACACATAAAAGAATTTTTTTTATACATTACAATTTTAAATATCTCATACCTTATTTATAATCGCTATTATCTTACATATTGTGAAAAGTGTAAAAACTTTTTCTTTGAAAAGACTAAAATTTCTTCTGAACTGGCACTGTATATGTGCATTTTGTTATATTAAATATAAATTTAATTAAACACTTAACAATGAATAGTTGTTGAATGTAGGTAGTATATTAATAATTTGTTTCAATTCATTAAGTTATATTTTTGAACAATTTGAAAACATATTTCTTTGCTAAGTTATTAAACGTTTTACTACATAATTGTTAGAAAACAGTTGTTAAAAAAAGAACAAACAGAGACTTGATAAAAATTTAACTTGCGTTTGTTCTTTAATGTAATAAATCAGAAATATGCACTCCTTTCGTAATTTAGCTTTAATTGTATATTATTTGAAACGAAAACAAATATTACTAGCTTCATGAGCAAAAACAATTAGAAAATTACATAATATGTCGAGATCTACATTGTTTCTATTTTTAAAGGAAACATGTAGAATGAGTTAAAACAGATGAGTTAAATAAGAAGCATAAATATATTAATCCAACAACTTCCTTACATGAAGGAACATACATGTCAAAAATACTTAGAGAGCTCATTCATCCTCTCATTCTCATCTTTGTCGCAACATTAGGAATATTCATTAAGCACCACTTACTTCATTCTAGTGCTCACGTCCGACAATTCTTCGGACAATTGATTTAAATTTTCTGCATATGCGCTGTATTTGAAGAGGATCGAGGACGCGTTTAGTATTTCTGAACAAGTTTAATCTTAATATGTATATTTAAAACTAAAAATTCCATATTCGTAATTGATTGTTTGGAATATATATTTTAGAATCGATTTATAATTTTCTTAATACGTATTGCACGTAAAGCTAAATTTAACTCAAATAATAAAGATAAAATATGATTAGATAAAATTAAATCAAGAATGTAGAAAATAACTGACTAGAGAACAGGAAAGGCAGTGATGTATTGCTTTGGTATTTCAATTTATTCAAGTTGAGAACTTGCCGTTATTTGCGACGTAATTTAATTTTTAATATTAATTTTAATCAACCTCTCATTGTACAGAAATTCACATCTCGTGTCTTCGTTCCTCTCTTTTTTTGTAATTAATATAAGCTATTAGTTCCATATCCTTTATTTTCGTCTTATCCAATTTTTCGTAAAGGTATGACGAAATAATGCACGCAATTAATAGGGACTTGGTTGTCTCTAGGATACACAGGCTTCGGAACACTGTGATTTTAAAGGACGGGTTCTCACCTCTAATTTCGTTATCAACTTATTTTTAGACTGCGGTTTCAGTATGACTGTGACTTGATAGACGTTCGACGTCAATTTCAGGAATAGTTAATTCATCAGGTATATTGTCAGCGTATTCGATACTACTTGTCTGCGAAATTCGCTTATTTAGTGACGACTGCTTCCTAAGGACTTCAGCGAGGGTTGTACTGCTATGTTCGCCATAGCGTGCATCTAGGCCTTGCCGGAATGCATTCACTACACGAATCTGTAAACCATTTTTCAATGTTAAACATTTCACTTTTATTAATACAAAACGAGACAATAATCGTGTTAGATGAAAATAAGGATTAGAAAATATGAGCAGAATAAAAATATTTAATTGAATAAGTTAACCCTTAGCTGACACTGTAGGTGATGGTCCTACCTTTTTCGACGTAAGTTATTAATTTTCGACTCCTAATTTAAAAAAAGATTTTTTACACCGCAGATTAAATGTATATCGTTGGGAAGAAAAATGCTCCAGCATTTCAGACACAAACATCTGAAGAAGTGTACAGCTAAGTGTTAAAAAAAGGCCAAACTTAGGATACAGCTTTAATATTGAAGATAATCGTGTCAAATGAGAAAAATTACTGAGAAAAATGGAGTTTCAATCTATAATTTAAACTAAGGATTATAAAATCTCCAATCTTGTCAAAATTAATATCATTTTGTTTTTACTATTAATTAATTTAATTCTCATAAATCATTTTTCTCAGTTTTGTATAACATTTAAAAGAAAAACCTCTATTTCTGTCATATAATATACCCTTTTCTTTGGATTTTTATTTCATTGACACATGTTAGCAATTGACACGATTTACCAGAAAAAGTATAGTAATATTTATGCCGATCTCTTATAGAAGACAGCTGTATTACAAAATAAACAAACAAGCACGTGAAGGCAATACCAAAAGCTCGACAACGTTTCAATGTTTGTTAATGAAAACAATTAAACATGAAATTAAAAATAAACGACATAAGCGTTGAAGCCCAATGCAACAATTTTTTTAATACCACAGTTTTTTAAATTGCATATAATATAGTAAAGTAACTGCAAGTTGCAAGTGCATTCCAGACGTAAAGCAATTACCATAATGTTGTTAAGCAGTTGCAGTCATGTCTCAATTCGGGCTTCAGTCGCTGTTATAAAAAAAAATTCTTCTTGTTAATAGATTAAAATTGTCTATCATTTCATGCACGCGTTGAGTAGAAAGGAATGATCGGCATGTAAATGGTTAGATAATTTATTTCACAATGAAGAAATATAAAAGATACAACTTTTTGTACCTTAAAAGATTTTAGTGATCAGAAACTGAAATTTGTCAAATAAAAAAAAATTTCTATTGTGTAAAAGAGGGGAAATCGCTTCCTATAACAAAAACAATTCATAAATATATTTTATGAAAATTGATAAAGCGACTAATAGGTCCAGAATTTCTAATTAATATTTTAGGGTGACGCACACCCCAACGCAATATTAAACTGTTTCTGGTGAAAACTTTATTTCATTTGACAAATTTTATTGCTAATCATTGAGATCTTTCAATGAAAATAAAACATACATATTGAAAGATTAAATTGATTAATTTTCTAAGGTCCTCAAGATCAAATATAGTTACAGGACCTCGTCACAGTGCTTTCGAGACTAAGAAAAAATTCTTTTAAAATATGTTAAAATTTGTTACAAAAGATGTAACTATATCTACAATGTTATAAATTCTATTTAATAGAAAAAGTATGCCACTTGATATTCATAAGAAATTACATGTAAACGAATGGAAAAGAGTTTATATGAAATTTCTATGATAGATAGTCTAAACCTAAGCTACAGCAGAGAGGAAGATTCAATAAAATTATTAATTAATTTCAAAATAAATTTACAGATTAAGCAAGTCGTTCTGGTGATGTGAATTCAACCATTTAAATAAATGAATAAATAAAATAATTCTTTACGGTCCCAGATTTCAGCAGCATATTCAACCTTGAAGTGAAGTAAAGTATTGGAAAAAGATATTTCGAAAGGCTTAAACAATTATGTTTAAGTAAATATGCAGAATTCAATTAATACTTAATAAGACAGTAGGTATTGTCACGTCACGTTTTAAAATCAATAATATATTCACGGCGGTAGTCTGATTTTCTAACAAATTCAATATTTCCAAAAGTATACCTAAAGAGGCAGGAAACATTTATGACCTAATAAATTGTCTCTTTTTTCTTTTCACGCTTTTAATAAAAGTAATGTGTAACCCTAAGGTTGAAACCAAATTTAGATAAGATCAGATTTTATATGATTTGGGAGCATTGTTCCTCCTACCCACTTCAATAAATTTTGCCTATTGTCTTTGTGAAAATTCTGTATAAAAAAGACCACATATGCCAGGAGAGTTCAGTTCAGATTTTGGTACCAGCACGTCATCTTAAACGAAATTTTGAAAAAGTACTGTTACTCTGTTCGATTTCATACTCAAGTTCGATTTAGAAGAATTTCCGAGTCAAGTGTTAAAAGTTTCTACATCAAGAAGAACTCATCCAAGTATTCAAGGACCTGACTTCCCATAATATTTGGAAATCATATTTACTTCCTTTTCTGGAAGAATTTCATTGTTTGGGTCTTCTTCACGGCTAATTGAACTCCGGACCTGTGGTCATTACCTGGTACCAGACATTCCTGCTCATAATTAGGACACAGCAGTGGTCCTTTTTTACACATCTTACTCACAAATTTTAACGATTTACATTTTTATTCCTAAATCCTTCATCACCACTTGTAAAAAATAGTAGTAACCTTTACATTCCTTGCTGCAGTGGAATGTTGACTTCCTATTTCTTTCAAGACTGGTTGCTTCAGGATTCTCTCTCTCAAAGAACAATTTTTTATAACTTAAAACATTTGTGTCTAAATAAACTTGTAACCCTGTCATTTTTAAATTCTATATTCTCTTTCTTACCTGTACCCTTAGCTCAGAGCCTTCTGCTCTGTAAATGAAATAGGATAATTGAATCACCGAGCGGACATAAATAAAATAAAATATTATTTCATTAGTTATTTTCTCTATTTGAGACGTATTGATAATGTAACTTAATTACAGATTCACGTCCGTCTTCCATTTTTTCATTTTCCAGTTCCGAAAAATGGATAGCAAAAATTTTGATGGTAGAAAGAAATATTTTATCAGATAACATCATTATATGCTACTGACTGTAATATACTATCATATCAGTTTAACGGCTCCCACGTTTCTACCAAGTTTCAATTAAATTAAACGAATAAGTTCGAGAGTGTTTTTAATTAATTTGAAATAATGGACGATTTTGTGCAAAATATTTTACTGTACCATCGAATTTTTATAATCTTTTTATAGTAATAGTGTAAAAATTAAAATATAAACGTGAGAATTTAATAATTAAATGAGGTTTAAAATGAATCAAACTTTTAACTCATTAAAAACATTACGGGTCATAGATAAGATTATGTCGTAGTATCTTTGATCTGTTGTAGTTTTTTTCCCTCTTTAACAAGACGCTCAATTCAATATAAATAATTTCTAGATCACTAAATCAAACATATTCCATAATTAATCTGCAAGCTTTGAATTATTTACCTCCAAGGCTCAGGAAATATCTGTTTATTAATAAAATGTTCGCTTGTGAAAAAATATTGAACTTAAATCTTAAGTGAATTTTGTGCGGCAATATTTGCATAAAAATTCAGTTTAGTATTTACTTACATGAGGACATTTTAATATTAAATAGATATTTCACTAGCTTCGCAGGTGAATATTTTGTAAATTACAAATCATTTCAGGAACTATTTAGTTTTTATTTTCCATGATATTATAAAAAGGTGCTGTACAGATGACTTTTGTTGAGTTTAATTTCATAACTAGTTACTGGTTCTGAGCTTGGTTGGTGATTTTTTTATATGATGAACCCATTATAGTCTAGGAGTCAGGCACAGATTTTTCAGACCAATTTCCTCTAAGTCGATAATTCGTGAAATACTTAAGAAAGGTGTGACATGAAGCCTCGTGAATATACACGTCATGTCTTAAAGAAAAGGGCAGAAGCCTTATGGGATACCAGGATCCATGTAAGACTATACTCCTGATGTCCATTGCCTACTATTTAAGTTACTTTCACGCAAGTTACTGCGGGAATGGAAAAACGCTTCTGACGACATAGAATTTCTTGTGATGCCTTCTTTTTTTCCTCCACAAGATAGCTAATGTCTAGAATGCAAGAAGAGGGTGCCTAATGAAATGGCGAAGCAGTTATAGTTACAGTCGTATTGGCCCCGGTAACACCTTAGCTGGAGTAGAAGTAAGTTAGCGTGAAAATTAATCTTCATCCGGATCACTGGGTTGGACTCTTGGTGGCAGTGGTTAATATCCCACATCGCTTGGGTTAGAGGCTGATGGAAGTGGACGATTCTTTGGGTGCTTTAGCGTCATCGGAGTCGTTTTAGTCTCTAGGTCTCGACATGTGAGTTCTGGTCTCAAATCGGAAAGCGACCTGCATAGCCGTCAGGGATTGGAAAGGTCCCGGTCAAAACCGATGATCTGCAAGGTTCTTACCAGCCTTGTGAGAATCTGACCAGAACATCTGGTTCATCGACGTTGGCCGAGCATATATCGGCCCTGCGACCATGGGGTCCGTGTAGGTATACCTGTACAAGGAGATTTCGAAACGTTAAACTTTAAGGCTATATACTCATTTTCAGATTCGTTTCTAATTTACTCTTAGTGTATTTGTAGGTCTGTCGCTGCCCAACCCACCGATGCTAGGGCAGCTGACCTTCACGAGGCTTCATGACACAACTTTCTTAAGTATTTCACGAATTATCGACTTAGAAGAAATTGTTCTGAAAAACTGTGGCTGTCTCCTAGATTAATAATAAAAGTTATACAATTGATGATGTTCTGATTGTTAAAATCGGATTTAAATTTTTGATAAATCCGAAATGTTACGGACTAATGAATAAGGTTTTCACACAAACCGATTAAGTTTTTTTATCGAACTGATTTTAAACTGCCTTCGTATAATTTCAGAACTAATACAGCTCCACATGTTACAGAAAACTATTATTCTTTGCATTTTACTGCAATAAATTGGCTTCATCAAATGATCTGACAACACGGTGATAGTATAAACCGTCTTCCGTGTAAAAATCTGTCAAATTACATAATGGGACATATAGTAAGTAATTTAAGTATCAGAAAATATTTTGTGCGGCAATTGTCAATTAAATTTAACAATTAGATATGTTAAATCTGTAAAATAAAGTCAATGCATATAGTAATAATAATGTAGAATAGATTTAGCGTCTACATGTTAAAATTTTTTATAAAATGATATTAACATATTTTTACAATAATGTATACCACATAAAATATTTACATGCAAAAATATCAATAGCATCTCATATAAAAAGGTTTGATTTATAGTATAACCTTATAAATAAATGCAGTATAGACATTAAATTATCGTAAGTAAATATAGTAAACTGTTTCATGCAACAGGAAAATTTTTTAAACAGTATTGCATTCCAATTCAATAGCGCTAAAGCAAGTAGATTAGCACAAAATGTGACAAATACTTTGAAATTTGTTTAAAATATAATAATTTTTAATATCAGTTAATTTTTGACACTAAATAGTACTTTGCCTTCTAGTTGCAAAACGCAGAGCTGCTTCGCAATCAAAGAAAATAAAGCATCAGCTAAAAACATTCACGTAAAACATAATAATACAAACGCAATTAGCCGTAAATGTAAATCAAAAATAAATCATAAAATATTAAGGTAAATGTTAGAAATATCACAATCGGCAAATAGATTTTAGATTAATCTGAAATTTTATAAAATTAATTGTACAATAATTAATATCTTCCTGTGAGTATTGATATCTAAGTAAAATTTCATTGTTTTACTTCAAACCAATTTTTTTAATATTGTATAATTTTTAATAAACATTTTGATGAAAGGACATTGAAGGTTGACCGTAAATCTTTAGAAACAAACCTGATATAAATTGACTTATTAAATTTTTGAAATCTTAAAATAATCTTTAGTATTTAAATTTCTTTGATCCAAAACAATAATTTCAAAAAATTTCAAATTAATCTAAATACTATTTGCAAATTGTGATATTCCTGATGTAATGTTATTCATATGATAACAAAAATTTACGATGAAAGTCAATAATAAATAATTAAATAAATAGAAAATGTTGAAAATGCAAAGAAGAGAAAGATAGAGCTGAAGTATGAGAGCAAGAGAGGAGCGCTTACAGCTTGGTCAGTCGAGCTCTTGCTGTAGGGTACCGGTATCAAACGTTCCTGCAACTCGCCACCAATCACCTTCAAGAGCAAAGGGTTATATAGTTGTTACAACAAATTGAAGCAATAATAGATTAAGAAGACACCACTCGCTCCAAAATATAAATGGGAAATTCAAAAATAGAATTGTAGTACATTTTTTAAAATTATTATTCTTAATTTTTAATTATCAGTTATAAATTAGGAAATTCTAATGACAATTCTAATATTCGTATGTACTAAAATTATTAAACACGAAAATTCAGGGACTTTAACCTTTTAATTGTGCTTACAGCTGCATGAAGAGAAATCTGTTACCTTCATCGTACAAAAACTCTTTGTGTTTTTATTATACTTTTTGTGGCAGAGATGTACCTAGGTGATGTAGAATTATACAAAATTTGTAAGAATTAATCGGTTCCACGTAAAAAGTGCATCGGTTGATTTGAATTATTGTATTGTAAAGTAAAAGTCTAATAGCACAACACACCTCTTGTACAACAAGTAACAGATTTTTCAATGTAAATGTTACACCTTTAGAAGTGAATTTACCCAAGAGCAATTTTAATATTGAGATAATAAATAATAATTGTAAATAATTAAAAATTGCACTAATCTTTATAAATTGACCAACTTAAAAAAATTACATATTTATTTTTTAATAAAACGGAAATAAATATTTTTAAATATAAACAGTTTAGTAACTAAAGCGAAAACAAATAATTTTAATTTATTAAATTATTTATAATTTACAAAAATTCCCAATAGCATAAGCTGCCAATGTTGCTCCTGTATAAATACTTTCCTGTTAAAAATTACTACGAAAAAATAAAGTATGCTTTTTACTTGTTTTAAATTGCTGCATCGTTAAAGAATGGGTTATAATAATTCGAGTGGTGTTTAAATATTTTGTCAAAATATAATACATATAAAGGTTAGGAACTGACAAAAGTAGATTTAGACAGATAGATAGAACAATAGAAAAGAATTTCATAATAAAACATTGATTTAGATATACATAAAAATTCATATTCTATCAGAATAAATTTGTTTTCTGTATCGGATCTTCCGTCACTAAGTTCTGTGTTTGATATTTTTCTGAGTGCCGATTATCCAACAGAAAAGCCCTAATAAATGAAAGGTCAGTGACATTTTTACCCAAGTAATTTCATAAAACTTAAAATTATTCGGGCATTCTGCACCCCTTGTGATAAAGCGTTACGGATTGTGCAAGGGTGATGATTATCTGTTTTTAAATGTTATGGTATAGAAATTACTTTTTTTATAAGTAGATTTGTTTATTATCAAATCTCATGCAAATTACTAAACACATGTTACTGCAAACAACCAGAACAAAGTCGTGAAGATTCGTGATTTTAAATTTAAACCAAACTGTTAATATATCTGTCGTTTATACCATCATATCGTTCGAATATTTAAGATATCCTAGAGACATCTATCTATTTCCTGCAGTTCGGATATCTGTAAGATGCGCTAGAGATATATATGTCGTAGGCAAATTGAAGAATTCGTTATTTAGTTAAACGCCTTGGCAGTAAGCTAACCGTTGCTAAATAGACGAATTGATTTGTTAAATTCATTTACTTCTAAATAGTAAACAAAATCATGTAAATTCTTGGTAGACCTTGTCGTGGAGGCGGGGCTTTACACTAAAAGACATCCAGAAACCAAGATGTCCAAGGTAAGGAGAAAAGAGATATGGAATCAAAGGTTTAAGTAAAGACTTTTACGGTAAACAGTGCTGCAGTATTGGACACCTTGTGTACTGCAGCATCCAATGCCACAAGGAGGATGGACATAATTTCTTGAGGTTACCCAGGTCCACTTGGAAATAAAGGAGGAAGCGTTTCTAGTGGCAGTAGCGAAAGAAGTTTGATGTCGTCTGATCTGGACGAGACAATCGAAGATGAACGTCAGAAGTGTTATGCAAGAGAAAGCTGAGTGTCTTCAGAGGATCAAAGAGGAAATCGCTAAAGATGGTAAAGTCTTGCGAAGTCCAGAAGAATGTCAACATGACTATTAAAGACGGACTTAAAACTCTTCAGGATCTTGTCAGTGAGGCCTATTTACTATTTGCAGTTGATGTTCTTCTATTCGCTGATTAGCCAACTGTCTAATCTATTCAGGTAGAAGAATTTATACTTTTATCAAATCCATTCGTCTATTTGGTTCTAAGTGCCTATGCGTTTAGCTAAATAACGTATTCTTGTATTTGCCTACGATGTATATAACATAAGTTATCAGAACCTCCGGATATCCCCAAGAAATACATAGGATATCTTGAATAATCAAATACTAGGATGCAGTCGTATGTGGGCATAAAGCAGAAAACCACGAGTGTGGCAGAGAGTACCAGATTTACGCTTTACGTTCACATGGGAATGCATCCGCATTAGGCTAACTGTCAAATAGTATAGACTTCAACATCGCGCACAAAAATGTTTATAAATAAGATAAGTTCGTGAATGTCACTATTAGGGGCTTGTTTTTTTGATAAAGGATAAATACCTAAACAGCACAAGTCATTGCAATATTGAATCAACAATGATACAATTTAATTGATGTGTACCTAGAATCAATATTGCAGAGCTAAGTGCAGATAGTATTGAAAACTAAACTTGATGTGCAACGTGAATATTAAAAAGTTATTGTTACTTTAATTCGGCTAGTACAGATTCAGTAAAATTTTTTATCTATTTGAAAATTCAAATTCATTTTATTGATGGAAAACCCTCAGCCCAATTTCAACGCAGATAACACGATAGGCAAATTCCCTAAATGATGTCACATGTTTTTCAGAAAACTTTAACCGCCTCTTCCTTTGTCAAGTCTTTAATCCCTTCTTCCTCTTAAAAAGTGACATCTTTTATGGAAGCCGATATATTTGTCAGAAAGTTTGCCCCAAGTTTTGTTGCGAACTTTCTGTAAAATGTAGTGCTATTTGGAAATATTATGTATATATGTTACTTATTTACAGTATATCATTATTATTTTCATTGTAATAATTATGTGAATGGAACAATCAAGGACGTACTGAAAAACCTTCATATCTTTATCGAAGAAGCTAAAGCTTAGAATTTAGCAGCTAAGAAATTAGCTATTGACATAGGAAATTCTTTATCCAATACAATACCTTCCGGCATTCCCAAACTAGTTTTGATTCTATAATCGGATTACTCAAGACGTTTAAAGCCGCCTGACTATCAACACAAATATTAATTCTTTTGCCTAATTTTTCTTTTTGAAGACAAATCATCAACTGGCTTAAAATCCACCAAACAACTGATGCATGCAGAAACCTTGGCCACAGGACCATACGATAGAGCCATTGAATCATATCTCGTTTTAGACCCCAAGATGATCCAATTGCCCTCCTGCAAACCCAAAGGGCAGTGTAAAGAGTGAAGGTCTACTCTTCTAAGGGGACTTTCTTTAAGAAAGTTATCAAGATAGTCGAAACTATGAATGAGGTATAATCAGTGGATTTAAAAGGCACAATTATGATCCGCGACTTGGATTAAATTATCCAAGAACAAGATAGAAAACAAGTGGCGGTTCTTAAACCCTACTATTGAGGGATGAAGTTCGCAGTTGTTGTCTTTGACGAAAGAAAGGTGAGCAAAATTAGAAGGAATAAAAATTTGATTTAGATGCTGATCTATGATCATTGATTTAAAAAGGGGAAAATCATATATTGTAAATTAAACTGAATATTAGAAAATCAAAAAAGTTTGACGAAATGATAAATAGGAATAACGTCGTAAGTAGTGGAGGATCCAATATATATACTACAAATAAGTAACATAAATATATATATCAAAAGAATACAGACTTCCTATTCTTCTGATTAACTAAAGTATCTTGTGTTTAACTTGTGACAAAAAATGCAATTTGTTCTAATCGACAACGCATAATTTTTTGAAGGGAATTGAAAAATGAAATATGTATTCTTTTTGAACAAGCGAATTTTAAAAGAATAAAATTTTTAACGAGTAAATTAGAAATATCTAGTTCTTTTAATTAACAGCAACAGATTTTTAGGAATGTATTGAAAGGATTAAACATTAAGAGAGTAGATTTAAAATCCTCATAATATTGCATACTATTTTTTTAAAAACGGTCACGGTTCCACAAATCCCAAAAATAATAATTCTCGGGATTTGTGGAATTAAACACTTTTGTAAAGAAGCTTTTATAGGATCTTCAAAAGGAACCTTTGTTTCTATGTACGTTTCTGTTAAGGTACATAGATGTAGTTTCTTGTTAGGGTTCCTATAAAATCTCTTTAATGGGCATTTCAAAGAACATATACAAGTCCTGTTTATCAAATTACTATCCTGTATATGTTTCTGTAAGGAGATTCTTAATTGGGTATAAGGGAATTCCTAGATATAATGCGGTGTCAGTTTGGAATACATAGGATGCTTCGTAGATATAAATGGATATCGTGGTAATGTAAAGGTGGTTTTTAAAATCTAATTTAGAATTTATCGTTAAAATTATAAAATTACGAATACGAAATTCAAAATATTAGATTTAAATATTTTATGGTATATTAAATATTATATATCATTATTGTATTAAGAAAAATATTCTGATAATCATTTCTCACAAGCGGAGAAATTAACCAATCGCAATCGAACTGGTAGTTCGTGAAAGTCACGTGAAAGTGCAAGTGTCTCCATCTCAGTTAAAACATCGGTAAGTCCCTCGCTCTTTACAATTTTTTATTTCCTCAACCCATTCTTTTATGTGTGACTTACAATTTTTAACAGTGTCTATATCAATCTTAATCGGGGGTTTTTGTGGTCACTGATTTACCTATTGCAGTAAATGAGAGACTTGGCAATCCAATGGGAAATTGTCATGGCTTACGATTAGTTTGATACTTTTTTACCAGTTAATTTTTTCACTAATTGAAACAGTAAAACTGTTCATGTATAGTAATTGAGTATAGATGTTATTTCGATTTGACATTTTTAGCTTTAAATCGCTTATTGAGTTATACATTAACTGTATAG